CATGTGCCTTTCCCACGATTTGTGCAACCCGAAAGAATACACATAAAAAACACACCCAATGATACACAGGGTGCTCTTTTGAAAGTAATGAAAGTTTTTTTAAATGATGGCTTAGTTATGGAACAAGTCATTGGCTTAACACACAAACGGAATGGAGTGGACCATCGCCATCCCAGCGTGAGTGAAAAAAGTCAGTTTGCCCGAGTGCTTTTCAGGATTTCTCCCTTTAAAGAAAAAAAAGATGGGCAAATTAATTATAGATTGAATTACGGTCCCTAATTGGTTGACATACATTTCCCAGATAAAAAAACGCGATTTCGTGATTATGCTAACGATCACTGCCCACATTTAGAGTGTATAAAATGTTCATCTGAAATCGTGTAACTACCATTGCGTGGTTTACAGTGCATCGAGTGCAGTCATTTTGATCGGCAGGTCGCCGGCGGTGGAGTAGAGTATGGGTACTCTCACTTCTTCCAAGGTGCCAGGCCTGCATGAAAGAGTAGGCCAAAATACCCTCAAAGGCAGCTCTCTCTCTCTCGTGGAGACTCTTCTGCCAGCAGGAGCGTGGGCAAGCAATTGCAGAGCTGCCCCTTTACCATTTTGCTGCTATCCGGGCTGGACAAAATTGTCGCAGGATAGATTATCCTCTCTGCGCAAGAGAGAGCGCGAGTGGGGCTGTGAACCGTTTATTGTCTCCTTGTGTGGGTGGCTTTGTGTGTGACAAACTTAATTTTTTTTAAAAGGTCATCCTGGCGATGCTGAGAATGTCACAGCGTGGCTGCACCTTTAGGTTTTGCAGTGGCTCGGGCGAAAACAGTCGAGTGCAGGCCTTGGCGCGGCCGCGTGAACGCCACGAATCGCGTTTCACAGCCAGTGAACATTGTGATACGATTGGTGGCGACTTGGCGGCACACGTTACTGCTGATTGAAATTCCCACGGGTGTGTGAAGTGCAATTGCATTGCTTTGCTTATTTGATAGGGGTGCCAAAATGGTGAGATGTTAACTATACAGGAGGCTGTGGGTTCGATCCTGACCCTGATGCCTGCTGTATATTTTTAGTTGGCACGTTCTCCCCGTGGCCGCGTGTATTTTTCTCCGGGTCCTCCGGTTTTCCGTCCACATTTAGACTCAACATGCGTTTAGAGTTGTTTGACTGCTGCCATAAATGTCTACATGATGCCACTTCGTTGAGCTATCATTTGTGATAACCAGGTCGCTTCCCGAAAAAGAGCTGTATAGTTCAGTGGGCCTTACCTGGTAGAATAGAAAAAAATAGTTTAAATAGATACACAAGGAGGGATTCAGGGCCGAGAACTGGTTTGACAGCCGGCGCACGCCAGCGGAATGTGCACATGTACGTGCGAGAAACTGTCACATGCTTGTGCCACATGGGACAAAATCTGTTTATGAGCTTTCTTGCACTACAACACTTGGGCCTCATGGCAAGTAGGGCCTGGGTTCGATCCCCAATTCTTCACTGACACCTCGTTAAGAAGGGCCTGGGTTCGATTCCTGACACGCGCTCCTTCCTGCTTGGAGTGTTTATGTTTTGTCTGAATGTAACTGGTCAGAATACATCCCAATGCTGCAAATTACTATCCTGGGATTACACGTAACAAGATAGCCCCCTACTGCAATGAACAAAAAAATGATCAGGACCCCCCTGAAATAGAGTCTTGAGACTCAGCGAGGCTTTTTCTGGATAAATGAACTTCGTAGAAATAATAATAAACAATAAACGGCATTTCCTGCTCGAATGTGCTTTGAGGTGGCGCTTATCTCCTGTTTGCAGCCCTGTGCCCATGGTGGGAATATTCCAGTGGTGGCTGGGATATCCATCTGTATGACCATGGCTGTTGACTTCCCCACGAAGTGGTACCTATTTTACCAAACTTAGAGGTTTGATGGGCTGTGGAGAGCCAGAGGTTTTAAACATTTTGATTTTATTATTCACGTGCCATACGGTTAGTTGGCCAACACAGGCAGTGCTGGCACGGAGGGTGAGGGTCTGAAAGCAACACGCTGTCCCCGTTGGTATCCCACTGTGACCAGATCGGCAAGATCTACACTTCTTCTGTGGTTCCACTTGCCTGGGCAATTGCTCCACGTACTTAATAAAGGAATGCGTGCCTGCGGTTTGCTTTTTTCCCCCCTTTTGCGTCTCTTTGAAAGAAAATAAAAAAACACCTATACCGTTCATGACATTGAACCGCGGAGATATCTGTGCGTTTTGCATGAATGGCGAACTCTATACAGCGTCTAAAAACGGATGTCTTTTGCACGTGATCGGCCTTTGATAGGGAAATGGGGGCATGTGGGTCCATAGGTGTGGTATTCTTGCCCTGGTGTGGTTCTGTTTGTTCTTGTAAGTTAAAACAAAATATTTATGTTTTGTGCTTTGCCTACCGCCAGTTTTGTTCCCAGTGCGTTCTCCGGCATCGCGAGACGACGAATCCGTTCGGAAATCTCGCAGAGCGGCGTGGTCCTGTGCGTCTGCAAATACGTGCATGGGAAATGGTCAGAGACCTTCTGAAAAAAAAACCTTTAGGTGGCCGTTTTCTCTCGACACAAATCTGGGGGGAGCACTTTACCGCACACCCTGGTGTGACACTGGCGCTTCTCCTATGACAGTCACGACCGGAATTTTAATGATCAGGCTTGGAATTTAGGATAATTGATTGAATAACTGAATTTTAAAAAATATATATACAAAGAAGGTTCGCTTCAAGTCTAGCCACTTTTGACTGCGCTTGAGAACCCGCTTTTAGCAATTGCCCAAATATTTGACCGATAAACTGTAGCTTTTACCAATCCTTCTCAGAGTTCGAGGTCCTCACACGTCGTGTTCCTCTGTGAGCCACGCCTTCGGCAAAAAAAAAACGTTTCGGAGCTTTTTTTGAGTCCTTGGCCGTCCGAATTAAAACGCTCCGCTCGAAGAGCTGCACCTGACCGCCTGGATTCTCCCATAAAAAAAGTTTGCGTTCTCTTGGCATCAAGTGTGCGATGTGAATTGGAGATGAGTGTGGGGGGAGTTTTGTTTTGTATACATTTTACCCGTACTGGGCTCCGACAGCTCTTTTGTTTGGGGGTGGGGGTCTGCTGTGCCTTATGACGGTGTAAGTAGAGAAATGATGGTGGGAAACTTAGATTTGGATTCTCGATCTCTTCAGCGGTACCAGCCACTCAGTGCCCTCACCGTTCGACCACCTACCCACCCACCCGGCCGGCTGCCTCTATTTTTAAACACAGTCGTGGTTTTTCCTGTAGACGCGCGCGCGCACACACATACGCGCAAGAGTATATTTATAGCTTCTACAGCGGAGCAAACGTGTGTTATGAGATATATTTTATCACCCTTGCAAACGCTGCATCTTTGCAGGTCATTAAAAGCACAATCGTGTTGTGACATATTGGTGCCTTGGCAGCTATTAAAATTTAGAAATTGATCAATTTTGCAAATGGCATTGAGATGGATGTGTGTATTAGCGGTTCGTCTTGGGAAATAAACGTGCCTGTAAATGTTTTTCATTAGCCCTTCGATTAATCATGCTTATATCTGTGTCGCATTTAGATAGTTGCTTTCCGTAATTTGTCACGTGAAGCCGACAGGGTTAAACACGTTCGTTCGTCAGAGGGCTCCACGTTCGCTTTGGCCACTTGATGCCTTGAAGTCAGCAGACAGCTGCATTCATTCATTCATTCGGAGTTGGCACTCGTGATGCATGACAATTAAACACCTCGACTTTATTGAAATTAATTGGCCACGCCTGACGTTGTTCAATTAAACTTGAGAACAAAATATAATTTTCCTCCCTGGCTAGGGGGGGGGACACACCTCACCACTGTCGACAAAATGACACGTCGTGATCACAAGAGCTGCAGTGTAATTTTAAATAAAGTTGTCCCCCTTTATGTACTCGCCGATGCCTCGCTCAAGATTCTCTTTCAGAAGGACCTTGTATTTGGGTGTTTCGCCAATTCCACGAACGAGTCTTTGCACGGAAGGAATCCTGAGCGTGTGCGTGGAGCGTACAAGGAAGCAGCACTCAACGCTCCGTACAGACAGACTCACGGACCAGACAGGCTCACGGACCGGACAGGCTCACGGACCGGACAGACTGACGGACCAGACAGACTGACGGACCAGACAGGCTCACGGACCAGACAGACTGACGGACCAGACAGGCTCACGGACCAGACAGGCTCACGGACCAGACAGACTCACGGACCAGACAGGCTCACGGACCAGACAGGCTCACGGACCAGTTTCTGTACTGCCATCTCCTGCCCCCCTCGCATTGTTACCGCCCCCCCCCCCAGTTTTTAATACCTGCCGTATATTGCCTGTTGGTTAATCCTTTTTACAAGGTACACACTTCAGGCCCCGCGTGATGGATGACCGCGCAATGCGAGCATTTGAACGTGCAGTTATCGTGTAAAATGCTTGCCTCGGCTCGGCAGAAGCGTGTAAAGCACCGCCCTTCCCTCCCGTCGCTGTAAATTCATTCGGAGATAACAATAATAAAAAAAGGCCACGTCGTAAATCACGTTCCTCCCTCTGCTGGCTTGCAAAGCACACGCACGCGCACACCACTTTTGCGAGCTATGACAATAATGCAACCGAACTAAAGGCGCGTTCCTACACAGGCTCAGCCGCTGCAACAAGCAGAGCAACTACAAAAGCCCCCCCCACCACCACCCCTCCGCAAATCTCCCTTCCAAATCGGGAACCCCCACCACCGCCCTTGATGCCACCCGCGGGGATAGCCAATCACGTGCAGGTCTCTTGTGTGATTACATCCTTCCGCTCCGGGGGAAAAGCCGCGCACTCATTGGCCTACGCCGCCAGTTGGCGGGTCGATCTGGATTACGAAGTTCGTGTGACCGACAATAATTATAATAATACATATGCTTCTCTGTTTCGGCCAGATTTTCTCTCACCACTAATGTATTATTATTATTATTTTTCTTCTCCCCCCCCTTCCCCTTCTGTAGCTGCCGTCTTGTGAGCCACCAGTGACGGCGGGGGGTGGCTGCTTCTGAGCGAGGTTCGCCGCTCCGTGCGGTGAGTGCCGTTGTTTTTGCTGCTCCGGTCCGTCCCGTGACGTTGAATAGCGACCCCCTCCAACGGTGGCGTCAGTGGCTCGTTGTTTGGCCCTTGGTGGTCTACGCCGCACGATGAAGATGTTTTCATAAAATATATTGTTTTTTTTTAGAAGGGAATAATAGCTTTAAACAATTGCTGAACGTACTAAGTACACTCCAGACTGTTGGAATGAAACATTGTTATTTTAAAAAAAACAAACGTTTGCCAAAGCTCCTCTCCATTGGTGGCGCTGAGCCAATAGTGTAGATGCCACATTCCTAGCACAACCCACAGCCTCCCATGGATACCCATGGAGAGGCGCACAGATGATGGTGGTGGTGGTGGTGATAACGTAGCCAAGTCAACCCTGGCCAGAGTTTGAACTCACATTCTCACTGCCTGGTGCCCTGCCATCCTACCAGGTGAACTGTAACCCAGAGATGGATATCACCACTGGTGAAAGGCGACTCCCATTATCTTCCGGAGCTGATAATTCAACGAGCCCGTCACCCATTGTACACACGGTACCAGACGGTGCTCCATTATCCCCTTCGGATCAATAGAGCTAAACACGGCCAGGCAGCAACACGACGTTCCTGCCCTTGGCAAAACGAGCAACCCACGCTGAAACTACTCTCATTAGTCCGTTCGTACTCAGCCTGTCTTAGGACGCCCAGTTTGCCTGCCCACGTACATTTCGCTCTGCATATCAGCGTGAAAGTCATATTGATGGTTGTAACTGCTCAGTTGATTTAATTTCTCAATTTATTTGACGATGCTGTTCATTATGGCTAGCATGGAAGAGTAGTCCAAATACCCTCTGAAGAGGGGCTCTTTAGAGCTTCCTCTAATAGAGGCCCTTCTGGCAGCGGTGGTGTGAATAAGACATCGCAAGGCTGCACTTTTACCTTTTATATTAACTTTACATACTTCACCACGTTGCACTGACCAATGTGGTGAAGTATGGTCAAATAACCCCCGAGATCAATGCAGCATGTGAACACAATCCTTCATCCAGCAGTTGATGGATCATGGCTGACGATATTAATTTTACATTAACAGAAAGAAACATGTTTGTGTGTGTGCGGTTCATTGAAAGTAGTTTTCATTAACTTCCCCACTCGCTGGCTTGAATGTAGCGCAGTTAACATCCCAGGTATTATGAACTCCGGCCCATCATCATCATCATTCCTCGAAGGTGGATAAAATACATACTATCTGGTGAAGCTACATCGTGTGCTGGAAACCCATGAGCTGCCATCCTGTGGAAATACTGGCCCCCACCATGAAATGTGGAATTTCCACTATCTATTCAGATGTGCGCTGCACAGTGTGCATTTGAGCATAGGGACAGTGACCTTTTTTGTTTTAAATGTGTTTGCAGATGTAAAAAAAATATTTACACTTGTAGATTAACACAAAAAGGTTTGAAAACTAAATTACAATCATGCCTTGTTCCAAATTGCATTGCTGAGTCTCAAGACCTGTTAGGCATTTGGCTTCAAAGTATGACCATGAATTGGCAGTGTCAAGTATCACCTCCCACCCCCCCCATGTGTGGGTTTTCTCTGGGTAGTCCGGTTTCCTCCCACCCACATTGTTGGTATTGGCCAAACAACCCAATGCAGGCCCTCTTGCAAAACAATTTTGAGATTCGGCGAGGGTATCTTGGGTGAATACTTGGCTTTTTATAAGCGAATGCTGAAGCTCAGGCAGCAGAGTGCAATTGTGATAGCTGAAATGTGGTGTACGGAGATCATATTTCATGCCAAGCCTGGGCAGATAATGAAAAACTTGTAATAGCATCACAGCTCATCATAAGCAACGTTTTTTTGTCATTGCGTTTTGTATTTTTCCACAATTTAATTTGTGCTATCAGGATCTAGGGCCGGATTAAGGTTCTTGTAGGCCCTCGGCACTTATGCTTCATTGGCCTTCAGCGATATCTTTCTACAGTTGATACTGCTGCTCCATGTCGCTACTACCGCCATTGTCACTCGCAATGAAAAACAATCTCTAAAAGTTAATCTCCGGGGTGTTAATTTCTCTCTCACCTTATGTAAAAAAATTACGATTGACAATGACATGACTCTGCCACTTTGTATCTTCACTGTACCTATCCATACTATATAAATACATTTATTCAAGAAGATATCTTGGTTACAAATGTTATCACACAAACAAACAAAAAAACATGGTTAAATATCCGTAGGCCCTTTTTGTTGTTTGGCCCTGTCAGGATCTTGTAATGAGAGGAAGAGACGGTATGCCCCATTTTTCATAAAATGGCTACAGAAGTGATTTTTCACATCTCCCAAAAATCCTTCACGTGAACTTTTTTATTCCTTGCGCAGGAGGGTGTTGCACTTCGCCACGGACCATCAGGCTGATATTTCTTTCTTCTCAGACCTGCAATTTTAATCAGAGTAGCTGCAATACCATTTAACATGTTGTTTTTCGTGCAGTCATCTGTGACCAGGCTTAGAACATAATACTAATTCAAAATAGGTTAGCACATTTCGTATTAGTGCCCTTCTTATAGGGCAAGGCTATCACGTAGGTGCTATGTTTCACATACTTAGTCTCCCCTAGTTTCACAGCAGGGGGACGATGTTGCTCTGTAATCCAAATTGAGTTATGTGCAGGTAATTTATCAAATTCATACCATCGCAACGGCACACAATGGCTTACTCTTTTCAAATGACTGTACGGGATCCTCACATCGACTGGGAATAAGATGACCCTTATTTATATATGGCTAGTATTGACCAGGGCAACCTGACGGATTCGAACCGCAAACCTCTGCAACAAGCGGCAAACGTGATACCACTGGGCCCCAACGATCAACTCACTACCCTTGTCAACTTCATTTAATAACAGGTGGCCGAGACCCAGATTTAAACCCAGGAGCTCAACAGTGCCGGCTCGGCATTCAATGTTTTAATTAATATTCCTGTGGCTCTCGGTAAGTGCCCTTTGGCAGTAACCCATTGCTTTTGAAATATCCATCAAATGTTCAATGATTTACCAATCGGGCACAGTACCAAAGAATACATTTAAAATGTTTCCAACTGGCCAACTCTGAATTTAAATCCATTGTGTTGTTACATAACTCATATCCGCACATGGGCCGTTCCACGTTTTCGGACAATACCATTGTTATAGTCATGAAGTGGTTTTTAACTTGGGCATGCTGCAGCAATGGAGGTTTGACCATACATCACACGCTGGTCAGTGCGGTGTGCTAGGCACCCTTCAGATATCGCTCGCTGTTGATATCCATGACCTGGAATTGGTTGCCAGGATCAAAGCATATAGTACGCTACCCCCAGTGCCACCGCTCCCTCCATAGGGATTACTTTTTGATATTTTGACTCTCAAGTTGCCTAATTTGGGGAGCTACCTGCATGGCAAACACATATGCACATTACGCAATCTTGCGACGTTGCTGTGCCACGCCAATTAAGCAAGGCACGTGGGAACAACAATTTCAAATCGGCCTCATTTACGATCCACAGCAGTTAGTTTAGTTAGTTAGTTTATTTATTTGCTATAGCCCTGTGAGCCATTCAGCTCTTGAATCGGGTGCAACTTCAAAAAACAAAAAAACATGAACAAGAAAACATCTTAAAGTGATTATGTGACTGTGCAAACAGAAAATCCAGGAAAAAAATAATCAAAATATTCCTGAAATAGCACCGTACACCAACGCTGTGTGCAAAAATCCCAGTGGGATGCAAGTCAAATAACAACAACAACAACAACCACAAGACAACTAAGATTAAGGCCATCAGTCTAACTCCGTACTACAATAAACAAAAACATGGCCAAAAACAAAAAAAACGTTTTCGAAATCACCAAAATAAAAGCCATAAATGCAATGTAACAGTGATCATAGGGACTGTGACCGAATTTTTTACAGTAAACTACATAAATTATAACACCAAAATCTAGAGCCATATTTTAGGCCACTGAATAGCAGTGGCAGCTAGGGGTGTACAACTCCTCTAGAGCAGTATTGAGTGAAGATCTCATAGGTAGTGATTCAAGTTGCAGTTTATTGGCAATAGCATTCCAGACCCTGGGGGCATCAATAGCAAAGGCCCTTCCTCCGGTTTTTGTACGGCAATAGGGAATGTGAAGCTGGTAGATGAGCGAAGACCTGAGGTCAAATTTGTTCTTTGAAACAGAGAGGAGATCCAGTAGGTAGTCTGCGGATTTTTTTGTAAGTACATCGTAAATAAATAAGATCTGGTGCACAAGCCGTCGAACATTAAGAGATATTAAGTTTGACCCAATGTAGAGATCACAGTGGTGAGTCCCATATGGGCAGTTCAATGTAAATCTTAAGGCCGAGTGATAGATAGAATAAAGCTTCTTCAGTACAGTACTTGGGGCTGATTTATACACGATGTCACAGTAGTCAAGTAGAGGCAGTATGGTAGCTTTTATCAATTCCAAACGGAACATTGGGGGGAAGCAGTGCTTGTGTCGATACAGAAAACCAATTTTTATTTTTGTCTTTTTACCAATATAATGAATGTGATCTTCAAAATTAAGTTTTGAATCCAGGATGACCCCAAGATACTTATAGATCTTGACTTGCTCTATTTGATAATTATTCAAGGAATGTAATTGGGGAAAAATAACTTCCTGCTTTAGTCCCGGTGAGAAGCATAGCACCTTGGTTTTGGAGGTATTCAGGACTAGTTTAAGAGAAACTAGCTGATGTTGTAGTTTGTTGAAATCACCCTGGAGCTTAGCAATCACGTCATCCGGAGAGCGGCCAGCAGTAATCAGTATCGTGTCATCTGCAAAAAGATTTACCCTGGAATGATCCAGGTCAGTGCCCAAGTCATTGACATAAAGAGAGAACAAGAGCGGGCCGAGGATGGAACCCTGTGGAACCCCTTTTGTTATCTTAAAACTGTTTGACCTCCAACCATATGTGAATACAGTTTAGGTGAGACTTGAGACTTGAGAGACGACGAAATCTCCCTTTCTCGCGTCCTCACCGCTCCGGGGGTTGCAACGGCAAGCACCGTTAACCCTCCGGGGTGGCGTTGCATCTCTCGCAATCTAATCTTTACACTGCAAAAATTGTGCTCTGAAGCCTCTAAATATTTTGTAATTTAATTTTAATTGGTGAACTGCCAACTGTGGCTTCGTGTGTTTTTTAAAAGGTTTTTGTGAGAACAGGCTGTGAGAATGTTTAATCTATCTTTAGATGCCTTTCAGAGTATTTAGCAAAGCGAAACAAGAACGAAAATATCACCAGAACTCAAAATGCTCAGTGCCCAACCCCACTGAACATGCTACTATTAATATTTTTTTTTGTTACCAGGTACGGCCCACTGAGCTTTACAGGTCTTTTTGCGGAAGCGACCTGGCCACAAATGATAAGCTCAACGAAGTGGCTTATCACGTGGAAATTCATAGCAGCAGTGAAATAACTGTAAACGCACGCCGATTCTAAATGTGGAGGGGAAAACCCGGAGGATCCATGCGACCACAGGGAGAGAGAGTAACACGCAAACTCCAAATGCACAGGCGTCAGGGTCGGGATTGAATCCACGTGCTCCTGTATACTGGGCGAGGTAGCTAACATCTCGGCGCTGCAGCGAGATGTTAGTAATGCGTGCACAGCGATCTCTGTCCCCTCGCTGCGCGTCGCGAACGTTTTTGGCCCGAGCGTGCTTGTTTGCAGCTCTTTTTATGGTCTCTCTGTTCTCCTGAGGGTTATTTACTTGGCTACAATACAAGGGCATTTACTTGATGAAGGGAAAAGATTATTTCGGCCAACCTTGACAGGATTTAAATATGGAAACAAGAAAAAAAATGTAATAGTCAGCCATGGTTATTTTTATTACACGGGACTCGAGTTAGTACAAAAGTTTGCAGGAGACTCAAACATGGATCGGCAGTTTTTGCCAATATATTTGTCAACAAACAAGCATATGCACCTGTATCGATTTTATCTCACCTTGACCAAAGATAAGAGTCAACGATTTATTAACTTGGACTTCATCGGCTGAACAGTGCACAAAGGTGCATGGAGACGTGCATGATTTTAAAGCCACTTCGAGACAAAAGCGGAACACATGGATCAAAGGACATGTAAATAGTTGCATCACATTGACTGTCAAGAAAATGAAATGGGCTTGAGCAGGACATGTCTTGTATGTGTGTACAGTAAAACCTTGGATTGCGAGTAACTTGGTCTGCGAGTGTTTTGCAAGACAAGCAAAAAATGTAAGTAAATATTAATTTGATAAACGAGCGAGGTCTTGCAATACGAGTAGTACGCATACGATTTGTCTGCCGAGCGTCACGTGATCGCAACTGATATACGAGTGCTTTGATTTACGAGTACTTTGGATTACAAACACGTTTCCGGAACGAATTATGCTCGCAATCCAAGGGTTTACTGTACGTTGAACTTCTTTCGCACCGTACGTATCCAATCGCGCTCTATCGTAGGTGCGGGATAATGGTCAGTGGTTTAAGTTTCATGAAGGAGTGGCAGCCACTGGAGAGAACATGCCCACGAGGAGCAATGAGGTCAGTTCACGTGTTGGTAATAGGTGATTGGTTGTTTCGCAAGACCGTGGAAGATGGCAATGTCTTGGGGAGGCCTTCATTACAGCAGTGGATAGATCATGGCTTATAACGATGGCATATATTGTCTTGTGCAGGGCTACGTGTTGAGCAGCATAGGGCAGTGCAACAAAATGTATTTATGTCATGTACGTCTGTGCTTCCCTCAACCGATTCACACTGACCCAGTGTGGTAAAGAATGATCAAATAACCCCCGATACCCACACGCATGGCTGACCCCGTCAGCCACAAGAGTCGCTTATACGCACCGCATCGTTAAAAATAAAATTTGGAGGGGGGCGCGGAGACGGGTGGGTGGAGTTGAGTGAATTGTTGCACCCCATCTCGTCTGGTGTTCATATTTGGGACACATGGGCAGGCATACATTTGACATGTGACTCGAGCTGCGATGGTTTTGCCGGTGCAGTTATCACTGAGCATCTCTTGAGAATCAAAGTCTGTTCGCCCGCTTCGCAATACCGCCGCTCCGCACATGCACACGTGTGCATACACGCGCAGCCCATTTGTTTATCCGCAGCTGTATGATGAGGGAACTTCCAACGACGTTTCGGTCTTGGGGGTTTGCTTAACCATACTAACCATACTTTACCATGCCGGTGAGTACGTCTTGTGAAGGCGCACGTGTGTAAACGCACGTAACGCTGAGAAAATCAAAGTCGGTGCTCCGTTAACGCCACATTGTTTCGCCCTCCTCCCCCCCCACCAGATCAGGCGGGAGACGGCACTTTCAGCGGAAATCGGAGCGATATTATGACCGTAGCGGCCTCGGCTACGGATGAGGCCACTTTCAAGGCCAACGTTATGGCATTGAATGGCACGGACCCGAGCGAGGATGCCCCGGCAGGCACGGGCGGCAGCTACGGCGCCGTCTTCCTCGTGCCGGCGTTCATCCTCGTGGGGTTGCTCGGCATCCTCGTGTGCCACATCCTCAAGAAGAAGGGGTACCGCTGCACGTCCACGCCTGAGCCAGGGACCTCGCACGAGGACCTCAAGGATGCCGGTGAGAGGTGGCCACAGAGCTCCGTGCCCGCGCCAATAGGCGCGACAATCGCGCGCCCGGGAGCCCCGGAAACCCGAATTGGGAGTGTGGTGAAGTGTGCTCAAGTTAAACCCACGAGTTGCACGGCGTGGGGGAGGCCTTCATCCAGCAGCCGAGTGAATAAGGTCTGCGGATACAATTGGTGGTTGCACTACGACCATCGCATAGAGCTCCACTCGTGGTTCTGGTATAATCATGGGTGGCTGCCCAGATTGAAATGTAGCAATTCGCCAGTTCTGGTTCAGCAATGAAACATGGCAACTATGAGCCCTCCGCTGTCCCAAATAAATGTTCCTTACCCGCCAAAACTATGAAGAGGACGTTTATCATGAATTCTACTTTTTTTATTTTAGGGTCCAATGAGAAGGCCTCTGGTCAGATGGAGTCATTTTGATAATGTAGGTGGCAGCAGATGGTTATGATTCACCGAAGGACCCACTACGGTGCCCGTGTATGCGCCTGCATCACTAGAATGTGAATATTATTCGTTTGGGTTGCTGCTCCTACCCCTGCTGTTGGTGGCAGTGCTCACCTGTGACAACATCGTCCACGGGCGTAGGCCTCGGCACATCGCGGTTTATTCACCTGCAAAGCTGGTACGTTCGGCTCCTGCCTCCGCCAGCTGAACAAATTAAAACGCTCACTGAAGCTGTCGTAATATTTGTCCTTCTCCTTGCCGCCGTGGTGTAACGGTTGGCGCACCGGATATTAAATCCAGTGGTCACCGGTTCTTTAGCTCTGCGCGGCAGATGAAACAATGGTCAAGGTTTTTTTGTATTCGCCCCCCCCCACCACAGTTTGTCGATGGGCAGGTCACGTGTGGTGGGGTAAAGTGTGGGAAGTCACGGCCGTTCAAGATGTCTGGCCAGTGTGGAAGAGTGGACCAAACACCCCTCTCGAAAGGCTCTCTAGAGCGCCCGCTGTTGGTAGCTATGCGAAAGCGATTCGCAGCGCCACGCCGTTTACCTTCTTGTCTCGACAAATAGTTGGAAAGTTCCATTTTTCAAGGAGCGTTTGGCATGCGTTACGAAAACGCGGAGCCCTGGGTAGAAAACTAACGAGTCCGAGGGGTGTAACGCTCTGCGTTGTTAAAGTCTAGAAGCCATTGCTCTACTGTAACCTGCTGCCCACATGGCAACCCAATTGTGAATGGTAGATACACATCGAGTAGAATGTACAAAACACATGACCGAGTCTCATTCATTTACATTTTAAGACTTTTCTTTTTGCAAGTACGAAGATACTGGAGTGCCAGATGGGGATAAACACTCGGCAGGTGCGCGCAGACGCGTTCAGAAAACCCACTTGCTGTACTGTTCGGCAATCTCGCAGCCCAGCGTATTTGGCGGTTTTGTCAACTCTGCGGGATCTGCCAGTCCTTTCGAGGCGCTGGCGTTTAAACGTCGACGTACGACGGCGACGGTGGCGAACGACCGTTGCCTCTGTCGCGTTTGTCTTCTCACCGCGCAGAAAACGGACACACGTGCGTAAAGGGAGGCTTCGAGGGCCACGAGGACACGGTGGGAGCCATCGCGAGACTCATCACGGAGAACCCCGGTGAGCTTCTTCGCCTCCACCCGTCCGTCCGTCCGTCCGTCGAAACGTTGCCCGCTCTCGGCGCAACGGTGCCGTCTGCCATTCTTGGGTCTCTCGGTAAAGTCACGTAGATAGGTTCAAAGAAAATAATCACAACGCAAGCGGTCGTCTTCCGACCGCTTGCGTTGCGATCGAAACGGTCGGAAGACGACCGTTTGCGTTGCGATCGAAACCTAGTAGTTTTTTTTGTTTGTTATTTTTTGTTATTTTCTTTGAACCTATATCTATGTGACTTTACCGAAAGACCCAAGAATATGAATTCCTGCATGCACGAAAGCTTTAAGTCAAGGTGCCGTCTGGCTTTATCAACTCGGAGTGATTTTCCGCTCCAAATGAGCTTCGAGGCAGTGCTCATCTCCCGTTTACAGCCCCTGGGCCTGTGGTGGAAATTCCTGCTTCCTGTGACAGGGGCGAGACTCTCTTGGAGGACAATCGCCGTTGACCACCCCCAAAGAGTGGTACTCATTGTGTCGACCCCAGAGGGAAGATTGACTGAGTCATCCTGCAATGAGGATTGGAACTCGCAACTTTAACGATTGCGAGCCGCTCGCTCGATCGTTATTTACCCAAGCGATAGCCTCACTGGGTCTCAAGACTTATGTAGGAGGGTGCTGCTGCGTTGCGTTGTCTGGCCAGTTCCATGAATGGCCATTTGGCTTCGTGTGGGAGGATACTGGATTCGCCAGGGAAATTCCAACATGCATACGAAGGGGTGACACTCAAATCTCCACACAGATGGATTCAACCCATTGCCATTCTGCCATCTCCCAACCACCTCGCATTCCCAAGTCTACCACGCCTGGTATTCCCAGGGAGTCTCCCATCCGAGTATTAACCAGGCTCAACTCTGCTTAGCTTCTGAGATCTGACAGGATGAAGGGAATCCAATGTACTTTGGTCATCTTCATCATGCAGCTAACTCTTATGCATGCCTTGGTTTGGTTACTCCATCTCCGCTTTGGTCGACCCTTCGTGAGCATTCTGACCACTGTTCATTTTAGTCATGTGATGATAAATGTTGTTTTGGTGAGTTTATATGAACAGCTTCATAACAATAACAGCTTCATTGTTAAAGGAATGTCAGAGTTTGCGGTTTACTAACCTTAAGGAGCCATTGGGAACGCCATTCATCCAAATCGTGAGATAGTTAATTATACTCTTTGGTTCTTTCGTTAAAGTTACGTAGGTAAATAAAATAATAATTATCAAATCACTATTTTTTTTTACCTACGTGACTTTATCGAAATAACCAAAGAGTATGAATCATTGCAGTCACGAAACTTCAAATCTAGTTAATTATACTCAGGTACAGTTGTAAACTTTGCAGTTAGTTTATTTGAAATTGTGTAGTGAATTCAACCGAGACGTACTCTTTGGAGGCAACACATTAATTAACACCAACACACAGGGTAACTGCCTCTTAACAGAATAGCAGCCTGTGGTGGTGACCGCCAGGCTAACTACACTAATTACAACTTAACTCGCTACAACGGACCGGGACCACAGCTCGGGTCCAGGTACACGTGTTGGAGACTGTGTCTGGCTCTGCCCTTGGCCACGCCCACCTTCTAGAATCCTCGAGCAGGATCTCGACCCTGACACGTGACCACCCCGTACCCCCACTTGGGGCCCCTGTGTAGACTTAACCGGTCACGTGTCCTCTGGGGTCAACCAGAGTGCCACGGCCCTTAGTAACCCCATTTTCATGGCCGGCACTCCCACACCCTATCCTGTAGGGGCCGGCACTGCACGCCGAGCGTGGGGCCATCCAGCGCTGTCAGACAACGCTCACCGAGCCCCTCTAGGGCCGCCATTACACAGTGACATCCCGCGATGTCACTACATCTGTATTCATTAGGATGATTAGCCCTTTCAAATTTGACATGGACAGGCAGCTTGCCGGCATAATGCTTCGTATGATTTCATAATCTCTTTCAAACCGCCTAAATATAGCACGACTACATTACTTTAACTATAATTAATAGCACCTTACCAACGAAGGAGAGCATTGTGGCGTAGTGCCACGCGCACTTCACCTCGAACCTGGTTACGTGAGTTTCATGCCCAGCCACAGCCAACGTGAGTGGCGAGCGATATCTGAACAGATCATGAACCCCTCTCTCCCACTATCCCTTTACCAAAACGCATTGGACAAGCGTGGTGAAGTATGGTCAAACAACCCCCACGACTGGCATGGCTTTCCTGGATAAATAAAGAACGTTATTAGGATTTTGCTTATGGATTGGTGGACCTGCCTGTATCTTAGAGAGCATATTGTTGTTAGAAATTGATAGCCATGCTTGAAATTGTTATTATATTCGAAAATACATTTGAGTACCCAACGTTTTTGGCCTGGCTCTTGTTGGGAACACAGAGACTAGGCAGGCAGGACATTTCGATGTGCGGTAGGAAACTTGAAAGCTTATCGGACAACGCTGGTTTGAAGTCACGCGTGACTCATAGCATCTCGTCAGTTTCACACTTGTAAAACTGCGCGCTTCGTGGTGTTGAAATGCCCAATTGTATTCCAGTTGTGCTATCGGTGTCACGTCTTGAGATAAGGAAATGTCTGTTCGGGAACGATCGCAGGGCAGTCCTTCAACTCCCTGTTTTAGAGAGAGATGCTTTCAAGTACCCTCTTAGCCACACTAAGGGCACAGCCCTTTGGCCGTGCTCCCTGCGATAGAGATGTCCGCTGGCCTGGCAATCAAACCAAAATGTTTGTATGCTTACATTCCTGTCAACTCCTTGTGTCTGCCTTATTACAGACCAAGTCAGACCTTATTGGTCACCCCGTGCCCTTCTTAATCTCAATGTGTATCCTACAAAGTCCCATCACAAGGGAGAAACACAAACAAAGAAGACATATATTTTTGCCTGCATTGAAACGGGTAAACCATATGAGTTGATAGGTATATTGTCAGAGCTGGATAAATTTGGCAAAGTAAGTGCAGAACCGTATTTAATGGGTGTGTTTTTTTATTATATATATAATCGTTTGTGGCCATCAACCGGCTGCACTTGAGAACCCGGTTTTATACTCGGGGGGCTGAACACGGAATCCAGTGGAATGCTGTTTAACAAAAATCCATTGAGTCTGTCGGTGCTCAACATGTGCACTTTTCAACGTGCAGTCAAGTATGAATGTATTACTAGCTATTTAGCGATCCGAATTCAAAGTAAGATAATATTTTAAAAATATATTTTGTTCAATACATTTGAAAGTTTCTCTGTTTCCCTCGGTTTTTTTTTCTCCTCTGTCTCCTCCTATCTCTGTGTCTCCTTGTGTCTGTCCCTCACTCTCCATCCAACAGTCTCCCGTGCTTCCTCTGTCCGCGTCTCTCCATCTCCATCCGTCTCTGTGCGTCTTGCCTCTCTCTTTGGCTCTCGCTGTCTCCCTCCATCTCTCGTCTTTTTCATCTTCATATCTCACCTCTTCTCTAAATATTGTTCGTAAATATGCATTTGGACAAATTTTCATACGAAGTGAATATTCATTGCACCCCGAGATCATAAGTCTTTGCTTTATTTCTTGCAGCCAATGCCGAGGCCCTCAAGGAGATGCAAGCTGAGCAGTGTGAACCGGACGTGAGCCTTGAGAGGTATTAAACGCTGCTCATTGAACACTGTATCATTCTTTATCAGACTCGCCTCTGTCATTCAGCGACGTCTTTGCAGCTACCACGCGTTCTCCGGCATTACAGTAGAACCTTGGATTGCGAACATAATTCGTTCCGGAAACGTGTTTGTAATCCAAAGCACTCGTATATCAGTTGTGATCACGTGACGCTTGGCAGACAAAGCGTATACGTACTACTCGTATTGCAAGACCTCGCTCGTTTATCAAATTAATATTTACTTACATTTTTTGCTCGTCTTGCAAAACACCCGCAGACCAAGTTACTCGCAATCCAAGGTTTTACTGTATTACGCTCGGCATTTCGCTCCGCCTGCTGGGAGCTTCCTGTTCTTCAGGAACTGAATTCATTCAGCTTCGTTGGGAATTTAACCGAATTCAGATTGGTGCATGAAGAAATTTCAGTCAGTCATTCACTTTATTTCAGGTAAGGCTCATCACGAACTGCGGTTAGTTCCGAGCACGTGGAGCGGAACACCGGTGATCGTGCTAAAATAATAACGCGGTGCGACCCGAACACACTTCGGAGAGCTGTACGGGCACAACCGCAAAAACCTACGCAAGTAGACTCGTCTCTTTTCTTTTTCATGTTGCACCATTCGTCCAATCGACGACGGTGTCTCGTGTCAGCCCACGCCCGTTGGCAGAGTAACTGCATGCTTTCCCAGCGCTGGGGCTGAAGTATTTTCTCTCGTATCGTTTTGGGCAGTGTCCATTTCTGGCTGGGACTCACCCACGAGATAAAGGAGTAGTACGTGAGCCCCCCCCCCCCCGCCTTACGATTTGTTGTCTTTGTGCCTAAGCCGGGTGCGGAATTCGATCGATGAGCCCACAGAAGTAGTTTCTGTCTGTCCCAATGGGACTGTCCCCCTACCCCGCAATCCACCCGCTCACACAGAGAGGCCGGGCAAGGTCACGTGACCTGATGTGTACGCGCACGGCTAGCGGCACGAGACCGGAGCTGGCCGGAACTCGGGACAAAGCCTTAACCCAGGCCCATGGCTGAAGCTTTCCAGTACAAATTTGTTTCGTGTCCTGAATTTGTTTCGTTTACCGTGGAATCTGTTGTGTCAATAGGAGTAAGTCTGCTTAAGCCGCACTGTCTTGGCTGGGCTTAATCATCGGTAAACAGAAGCATCTTTAGACCAGTCCTTTAAGTGCTTCTTTGCTTGGGTTTGGTTGCAAAGCGGGAGTACAGAAAGGGATTTTGCGTTCCATCTGTGCGGAGTTTAGAGTCTTATCCCCTAATATAAGTGGGTCGCTGCCGCAAGCCAAAGATGGATCAATGGAATTGGCCAAATATTCCATTTCAGAACCCTTCTGAAAGGCTTTCCTGGATAAATAAAGGACATTATTATGCTTTTGCGCGTAGATTAGTGGATCTTATCCGTATCTTTGAGAGCGTATTATTGATGTTTTAAATTGATAGCCATGCTTGAAACTCAGGGCTAAATGAAGTCACTTTGTGAACACATGCAAGGTGAGCCTTTTATAGATACCCCATTCGTATCTATTGACCCTCTTAACTTTCTTCTGCAAAGGCGATTGAGTATTGTGAAAAGTGATGTCCCCACATTTTACAGAGGAGAGTGTTACAATATTTAATACGTTTATTGAGGTGGGAGGTGTGCAGAGACTTTGAAATAAATTGTTGTTTTTTCCTATGATTTCTCCATATCCTATGAGTGGGGTATCTGTAAGTGCCTCGCCGTTTTAATACAAATTGTGAACGAGCCAATGGCTCCCTAACGTTAGTCAACGGCAAACTGACATTTATTCATCAACGACACTGTTATTGTTATGAAGCTGTTATTATCGAACAGTTATTTCCCATTGCTCTCTGCCTATTTTATATAAGCTCACCAAAAAAAACCCATTAACCATCGCGTGACTGGAATGAGCAGTGGTGCAGGGGGCAATTGGGTGGTGTTTTCATGAATGTTCCATTGAACTCGACAGTCGGTAGAACACACAATGTGATCCACTCTGTGTTGGAACATTTTCACACCCGCCGCAACCTGAGCAGCCCGAACATTCAATTGTTCTGCTCAGTCGTTTGATCTCGGTTGCAATGGGTCACAGCGAGGTTTCTCGGATACAAAGAGTTTTCCCAGAGAGCTTTTTGTTGTTATTCAGACGCAGCTTCATTTTCACCAGCATGAGCCTCCATCATAGCAATGGGCTTGGCTCTGGGTGCCATCTCGTGAACTACACCCGGCATTGCTTCAATTCCTACGTCGGTTTTCGCCGTTGTGCCGCGCTGTACAGCTCTCCGCTGCATTTTCGGGCTATTACCGCGTGTTGTTCAGCACGATGTCCGACGTTTCGCTCCGCGTGCGGAGAGCTACTTCAGCTGTGTATGTATGCGTGTCGAACTTCTTTTGCACCGGACGTAGCCAACCGTGCTAATTGGAGGCCATGGGGTAAGGACAACAAGCTAAACACAAAAAGCAGGTCTAAATAAATTCGTTTTCAATTTAGATTTAAAAGTTCATAGCTCCAGCGGCTTCCTAATATCGGAAGGGAGAGCCTTCCAGACGGCTGCAGAAGCACATCTGAAAACGCGCGTGGCAGTGATCGTCTTTGTTCGACGATTAGCCAAAAGTCGCTGGAAGGACGACCGGAGTTTGTGCGATGGTCTGTGCACCTACTCGAGATCAGCAAGGGTTTGCGGTTAATTTGTGGATGATGGTTACCCCCGTGTCGCCAGTTTCCACAATGCCGTGATACCATAATCCATTTCTCTTCTAGCCCCGAGCTAATCCCATCGCTCAAACTCCGTGGTTATCCACTTGGGGGCGATCCCTCCCCTGGCTGCTGCTCGGTTATCAGTCTCATCCAACTGCTACACAAACCCTTTTAGTGACGTGTTCTCTCTGAGCCCACGTATTTTTTTAACAGTCATTAAGATCTCTGTGATGTGATCCATGTGTTCCTCTTTCTGTAACAGGTGTGCAATTCCTTGCATGCATCTCTACACATTTGTTTAGATAACTTTCAGACTTCCGTTTTCTTTGTTAAAGTGTCCAGACCTCAGTTACAAATTGTGGTCTATGCATTTATAATGACTTAAAATCAAATTGTAATTTTCAGCTAAGAGTGCTGGCTTTACTCTCATTATAATCTACACCAGGTTTGTAGGTGTCCATTTTTTTTTCATCCATGTGTCAATGGCTGGAAATGTTGCACTGATTGAAAACACTCCTCGTTAAGCAGATTTGTGAACGTTGCTTCGAGATATCGCCTCCTCGCCAAAGAGACTGACAAGTGGAGCAATGGCGATGCATGTGTCACTGGAGCGTGAGGACGAACACAAATTAATTCCTGGTCATTATCGCACACAGGTTACGTTTTAATAATTGGCCCGTGTTTTTGCGGCGTTCGCACGTGCGTATTAAACGCCGCGTGACATCGTTCAGAAGGTGCGGCTCGTTGTGTGGCGATAATGTGACGGACCGGACCCAATAATCTTAAAATGACTCGCAGCTAAATGTGTTCGGCAAATACTGAGGCGGCACAAATAGGGACACGTTTACGTAGCTTTTACGAGCAACACTTTCTCACATTGTGTTTATTTTATTTTTTTACCAGGCGATAATGTCACGGACCGGACCCAATAATCTTAAAATGACTCGCAACTAAATTCGTTTGGCAAATACCGAGGCGGCACAAATCGGCACACGTTTACGCAGCTTTTACAAGCAACACTTTCTCACATCGTGTTTATTTTATTTTTTTACCGGGTAAAGGCCACTGAGCTATGTAGCTCATTTTCAGAAGCATACTGTCCCCAAATCATAGCTCAACGAAGTGGCTTGTCATATGGTAATTCATTGAAGCCGAATACTCTAAACGCATGTTTCTAAATGTGGAGTGGAAAACCGGAGTACCCGGAGAAAATTCCACGCAACTATAGGGAGAACACGCAAACTCCAAATACACAGGCATTCGGGTCAGGATCGAACCCATGGCCTCCTGCATACCAGGCGAGGTAGTTAACATCTCACCGCCGTGGCGCCCAAATATAAGTTACGAGCTTCGCCGGGTAGTGGCGATATTCACACACCACAGCAGTTACTCGTTTGAGGCTGAGTCGACCTAGGGGAGGCCCAGGACCGGTTAAAATAATCGTCACCGGTGGTGGCCGTGAGCGGGAATCGAACTCGGGTCGCCGGGTTCGTAGCGCGGCACGCTAACCGCTACACTACAATGCGTTACGCTTCCACATGCGCGGGTCACATGACAGATTTGACGTCACAGCTCACTTGCCGTGCACAAAATAAATGCATTGAGCCCCCCCCCCCCCCCCAAAAAGTGTATTTTTAAAATTTTTGCATGGTGTACAGTCTGGAAAGTACCCACATGGCAAATTTCGAGTTTGTTGCATGTCGGGAAGTACGCTAAACATATCATCACAACTTTGCCTTTTATATATATGGAGATATATATGGAGATTACCGTACTTATACAGCAAGATTACACAGCTTAGGTGCAACATATCATTTACAATTGGGTCTACATTTCCATTGTGCGGCAATTCTATTGTGGTATATTATTGTATTATTAATTTAACAAAAATCTTAAATTATGCAGGAGCTGTGTTTCATTTGAGTTTTGGGTTAGGAAGTGGCTTAGTGGTAGAGCGAGCGGCTCACCATTATTGGAAGGTCGTGAGTTAAAATACTATCTTCTGGGTTCTTTCGGTAAAGTCACGTAGAATGGAGATAAAATAATAAAAATAATAACAATAAAATTCTCACGACGTTTCGGCCACAACACAAGTAGCCTAGGCTGTTATTATTTTTATTATTTTATCTCCATTCTACGTGACTTTACCGAAAGAACCCAGAAGATGAATCCCTGCAGTCACGAAAGCTTTAAATCGAAAGCTAAAATACTAGTTCAGGGGTTGACTTAGCCCATCATCCCTGGGGGGTTGATAAATGAGTCCCACTTGGTGGGGAAGTCAACACAAAGGGACGACGAATTTCTCAAAACAGATCACCGACCACTTCCTCAATGTCGATTTGAACAGGGAATTGTTCTGACTCCCTTTCAATCACGTGTTTGAATCACAGTGGCTGCGCCCTCTGCTGGCCGTACATAATCGTGGTCCTGTACTAAAGTGCATTTCCTGTCGATGTCCAGTACACGTAGAGAAAATGGTGCATTGAGTCACTGGAGCATGTGCGTGAGAATTAATTGTGTACCACTAATATTACATTACAACTGAAGGTTGTCCTGGTATTTTTTTTATAACCCACAAAATATTGTTTAAAAAAGTGCCTTTTGTGGTGGTAGGCAGTTTTAAGTGTATGACATGTGAATTAGCAAGTGCATTGTAAAGCCACCTGTGTGGGAGGTGATCAAATAATGCGGATTGTAGAGTGTTCCAATGAGGCTTGCGTGGGTTTTCTTAAAAATACAAATAAATATTGTGGGTTGTCAAGTTTTTTTTATTTATTTTCGTGACATCCCCTCAACTAACGGAGGGAGCAGAGAGGGCGTGCACGGCTGAGAGGACGTCCACCACGGAATTGTTCCCGTGAAATCCGCTCGTGCGTGCCAGTGCTAGATGGGTTGTTGCATTGCATAATCGTGGAACGTGGTGAAGGGGTTTGAAGAAGTCTTCATCGAGCAGTTGCTTCATCGCGACTGAATATGATGACTAGAGCCAGGCTTTTGGATTAAGAGTACTCTACCGACTGTCAGTTCAGTTACACGATTAATTGGCGAACACGGAAATAGTTGTAATAAGGGCTCACCGCTGTACCCGTGTGTGCTGCTGGACGGGAGGTGACAGGTGGGGCTTGGTGACACAATGGCCATTCTGTCTTGCTGGCTGTTGCTTGTAGGGGGGGTTTAGGTAGAATGTCAGCACAGCTACCATGTTCAAAGGGGCCTGAGTAATCGACCGTAAACAAGTAGTCCATTGCAATGATTCCTCAAATAATTTGACTCTTATTCGCTAATCGCCCCAACTCTAACGACGACGACGATGATGATGATTATGATGGTGGTGGTTCCCTTCACCCTGATCCCCACGCAGCCCCACGTCTCCGGACCAGACGGTGTTGAGCCTGGACGACTCGCACGCCATGCACAAGCACAGCCACACGATCCACGGGGTCTCATCCAACTCAGGCTGCGCTCGCTGCACCAAGGAGTGGCAGGAGGCAGCCGGCAAGGCGCGCAGCCAGAGCCGTAACAAAGGCGGCGCACGGCCGCTCCGGCCTGGAGAGAAGACGGTGCTGGCCGTGGGAAGGTGGGTGCCGAGTCTTTACATCACGCCGTGTGTCTGTGCGTCTTTGCTATTTATTTGTTTGTCGATGCCGGCGTCCACGTCAATCCCGTCACCGATAATGTAGACTCCCTTATAGAAGGGTTATTTTGTTTAACACTGACGCTTTCGTGACCAATATTATCCATAATTAAGGGGGTTTTTTTGGGGTTCGATCGCACCAGACGTGGCCCATGAAGACCCCTTAGAGTGCCCCGCTGAGCTATGGCCCACCAAAGGTTATGCCCCACCACGATTAGTGAGATGAAGGTGAGCTAAACGAGAGAGATGAGAGACCTAGAGACAAGAGGTAGAGATCGGTGGTCACATGTCCACGAGTTAACATCTGTACACGTGGCGTATGACGTCTGGCACACAAACTGTGTTATGTGGCCTCCTGGAAAATGTAGCTGAATAAACACACCCCGCCCTTTGGCATCAGCTGCCATTGCAGAGAAGGCTACTCAACATATGGTGCCAGAGTTAATCCTGGTCACTTGACTACCCGCGGCGCTTAATTTACTTTTCTGCACTAGCCGTGTAAAAGCAGCAGGGTGACGCTCGGTATGTTACGGCGTTGTTTTGTTTGATTTCTTTCAATCGTTTTTATGACATATGCCATTTTAATCCTATTTATAAAATAATGAATCAACGTCTTTCTTTTACGAATACATTGCTGTAGCCTGCTTAGGAACTTGGTTTGTCGTGCATTCCTGCTGGTAAACATTAAAAACCGATGCCTCACGGATTCTTGAGAAATATTCAAGTCACTGACCGGCCACCCAGACCTCCCTAAATGAGACAGAGCTTGCTCACCTGTAAGGAATGAGGGCGACTCTGCTTGCTAAAGGTGACTGGGTGTGGTGCTAACGCCACCCAGATAATGTGCTTGCAAAAGCAATATCTCATTATTACTCCAGAAAGCCTCCACCACTCAAGCAACAACAACAAAAACACTTTGATTGGCCGAAGTATATTTTGTGCGTTATTTTTATTTTATCATGGATTATTGCAGATTTTCTCGGACCATATTTTAAAACACAACAAGGTGAACTGTCTGAAAATATACAAATTAAATCAATTAAAAGATGCACTTTGTAATAATACGAATAATGCACGGTCCTTTATTTATCCACTGCAGGATTAAGGTTTTCCCAAGCCATATTGGTACAGTAATGGGGATTTTTTTTTACCATACTTCACCACGCTCGTCAGCGTGGGTTGGTCACGGGGAGGGCCCAGGACCAGCTGAGATATTACTCGCTGTTAATGTTAGCCACGGCTGGGAATTGAATTGAGCTCGCTTGGTTCGTAGGACAACGTGCTGAAACTAACGACGGTGCCAATAAAACAACTTGTGAAACGTCCACTTTGTGTCCACTCACAGGAGGATAAATAACTTATCCCAGTCCCAACTTTATTTGTTTTTAGTCAGATTACGTCTAGTAAACTCACCGTTGTCCGCAACACAGTCGTTTCTGTTTAACTGCCACGACTAGGCTTGGTGTACGGTGCTGTGATTCACTTCTTTCTTTTACAGTAGTGTCTTGAACGTTCTCGACTCGGATTGGATAGAATCCAGTACGTGTAGCTTATTTCAATGTCAAATCTATCCAATGTCTCCTAAAGGCAATTTTTGACTTAATATGAACTTATTTGCATGTAAAAAAGTGAATCAGAAGTCTAGCATCAGATACAATTTGGTAAAAAAGAAACAATATGTTAAAATCTCTCAAATGTATTCGCTTTGTACTTTCATACTGCGTTGGCAATGGTGCACTAGCACAAATAACAAAGCTTAAACACATTCGTCAATAGCGCTGCTCTAAAGAGGGAAAAATATATAACGGGTGATGTTTTGGGCATTGGCCCTTGTTCATAGCAGAAAAGGGCCATTGCCAAAAATGTCGCCTGTTGTGTAATTATTTTTGTTTATAGTGGGGTTAATCATAGGTTTTTGTAATTTCTGAGTTTTTCCTCAAATGTGAAAACGCATAACAAAATTTCAGCTGGTTGCTATGCCCGTTGCCGCTGTTATCCGATGTTTTCTTTTCATTATCGAACAACTTGGGTCATCTTTTGTCTCTCTGTCTCTCTCTCTCTCTGTCCTGCAGGTTCCGCGTAATGAAAATCCCGGAGCGGGACCGAAAGCAAGGGATGTCGGATCAGCGAGCCAGCGTCATGGACGGCAGCACGGCGGAAGTGGAGGCTAAGCCCCTGTCACCAACGCGCATCAAGTGGAAGAAGTCGTGGTCGCCAAGCAAAGACGACTCGATATCTGACTCAAAGGCCTGAACGGACGTATACGAACTATAATACTCAATTCTCCTCGTCTACGACTAATAACTACAATAATATTGATCACAGTAATAAGCAAAATGCACGCTCTGTATTATTTTACAATGGCTATTTTGTCAATTTCCTGAGCAGCGTGGTTCTCAGTTGTGAAAGAACACGTTCAAATTCCAGCCAGGGTCAACCCAGCTCCATCACTAATGTCGTCATCATCATCATCATTACGACCACCGTCATCATCAACGTCCTTGTTATTGCCTCTCCATGGTTGTTAGAAAAAAACCTCCACCTAATGAGACTGCACCACTTGTTGTGAAGTCAACCCGTGGCCATCCTGTGGAAAGACTGGTCCCTGTCAATGAAACGTGGAATTTCCACCACCACCACTGGCTCAAGACCGCCAGCCATCGTGGATAAGGAACTACCCCCCATACACGGGAATTATTTGATGGGCTGGCATCACCACAACAAAGTGGCTGTATTGTTGTAGTCGCATTATAATTATTACTTGTCTTGACTTGTTGATATGAAAAGCAGATTGAAGATTATGCAAATTTTGTTTGGTTGTAAAGGAGGAGAAAGATCCAGAAAATGGTGGCCAAATGCTCATGATTTATACTCATGACCATAACATTTTCACCCCATTGTCTTTCCCCGCCCCCGCTCCCCCCCACAATTTTATAGCTATTCTATCGGAGTTACGTCTTGAGACGAATAATCAATTTGGATTTCTCTCAGAGCAGTGCAGACCTTCCTGTTAAGAGGATCGCCCACCTCAAGCAGATACGAAAGAACTACCTCTTAAATCCATTGAAGTGACCTATGATCTACAAATTAGGGGGGTTGCACTTTTCCCACCCACCCTTGCCACAAGAGAGTAATTCTCGTCGCATGATAGTGAAATCGATCAAATTAAATGCAAGGCCAAATTATTTCGCGTGACAATTTGTTGTTGTGCACTCATTAGTGGACTGGGCTGAGAAACATTGATAAATTTACACTTGAGAAACCCAGTTTATTCAAAGGCCTGGATTCGAACCTAAGCATTTTACTGCACCCTGCACCGGGGCTCTGGCCTCTTGAGTCACCTCCTCTGCCACCTGATTGCCTTTCACACACGGCAGAAACAGGAGGGCCGTCATAGCCGTAGAAACTTTCTAGAGGATGAGTTGAGCGTGAGTGGGCCACGTCCCTGACGTGTCGTCGTTAGCGTTCGGCTCGTTCTGCCACTTTATTCCGTAAAATTCCACGCAGTTACGCCATTGCTTTGTGTTGCTCGTTTTAAGCCTAGTCAGGTGCCAAATTCCCTTGACCAGCATTGTACAGCTCTGTATCATATAGAGTTTTGTTTTGCTTTAATATGCAGCTTTGAATTCGTATTCTGTAGATTTACAACTCACACACTGTATAGTGCTCATTTTAAAAGTGGTAAGTTGACATGACACCGTGTTTGTTTGAAATAACCTTTTGTTAAGTACATGAATTAGTTTTTCTTTTTAGCCTTCTTAGTGTCAATACTTAAGAGCAAAAAAAATATTTCCTAAGAAAACGGAGAGAAAATCCAAATAACTTTGTGTTGATGCAAAATTGTTTAAATATAGTAATCATATACATTTATGTATGAATTTAGTTTTTTTCCCTTCTGTATAATCTATTTGCTCGTACAGGGCTGCTTGCTGTCATTACACGTGAATGGCTGTGGGATCCTACATTCCCTTGTGGGTCTTACTCCTTAGACCGTATAGAGTGACATTTTATTGAGTTGTATAAGCGGCCTCAATGCTTTGTTCTCGAGCTCTGTAAGTGAGATCAACCATGTCAACATCCACACCTAAATCGCATCTGTAGTCTCCTGTTTTCTGGCAGTGGTGATATGTCTGGTTAAGATTCGTAGTTGCAGTCTTGAACATGTTAACGAAAATCGTGACGCAAAGCGAAAATGTGGTTCTTACCTCTGTAGAAATCGTGTTACACTCTACCATTCAGCAGAATTATTTTGATATATTTATTGCATGAGGATAATGTCATTCGGCAAAAACAAATCACCACTCGAACTTTCGTGCACATGATTATATGAAAATAGATGTATGGCAATAAACAAAGGCATTGTCTTGTAATTGTATTAAGAGCTTACGAAGCACAATATTAAAAACAAAATTATTATCTATAAAATGACACAATTTTCATTCAAAAGTCACAATGTGGCGTATAGGGTATGGAGTTTCTAAAGCCAATGTTTTTTTTTGTTATAATGAACTTGATGGGGAATTGATTATAATTTATGTTGTACTTGTAATGAAACCATCCATGTGATGACATCGCACTGTGTTTTATTGATGCTGTCCTGAAATATGCACTGGCATCGTTCTTAACCCTGTTACTATGACGTTCCTACTGGATTGCCTGTCGCTTAGGGTCAAATCAAGGCGTTTCCACGTACGTTGGATTCTTGGCTGCAATTTTTTACAAGGTGGACCAGACAGATTGAAGCCCATCAATTACAATCGAATGCTAGTCCTCGCAAACTGAATTTCCACCTTCACGTTATAACGGATTTATTTTCGATGAAACGGCTAACGTACCATTGGCTTCAGACCATTTATTTTTTTCACAACGCTGGTAGTTGCTTCTGGTTCGGTGTATTTTCGTCGCTGAAATTACAGCACCATATAAATTCCAGGCCTTGCGCCACCGCTGTTTTGAGTGTTTTGGCCATAGGAGCCGAAATTACGGAGACAATATTGAAACCAAACCCATTTAGATGAATCCCGCTTCATACCGTCGCAATTAAGCTCACGCGTTAAGTCATGCTTAACACAGTGCTGCAGCTTTTGGGTGTTAAAATCTCAGTTGCGTCGGTGTGGGTGCAAGAATTCTCCATGCCGAGGGAGTCGCCCTAGGCACAGGACTGTGGCAGTCACTGCTGGTGAAAAGGGCCTCAACTGCAGGACACTCTCGAGAGCTCCTCTTGAGGGTACCTTGGGCCACTCTTTCGCGCTGGCCAATACATCCACAGCCAGCTGATCGAATAACTGTAGGAGTGTGCCCCCCATTCATACTGCCGGGTGTACAGAGGCGGGCGGATTTAAAAAAAAAACTGCCCATAGGTTCATCATGCCATGATTAACAAGGCCACAAATGGCAGTGCTGCAATGTTCTGTATCAATCAACTTTCTGACGTTTCCTTCCGCAGTAAATACTTAACCTCTTCTCTTATATTGACAAACATACTTACCATTTAGGTGTGTATATACATTTGCCCGTCATGGATTAAACACTTTACATGTGTGTGTTGGAGCAAGACTGTTGTGTGTTTGTGGGGTTTATCGAGTTATATATATGTTTTTGCACCATGTTGAGTCAGGGTGCAACGAATCATCGCCCTACCTTCGCAACTCGAGATTCGATTCAATAATACATTTTTTTATCCAATGCGTTGAATGTAGCGGCCTTTTAGTGACTGCAAGGGGTCACGTCATCAAATTCATTCTGGACACTTTCTCAAAAACAGCGATTCTAGACGGGTCGTTGCATGCATCGTTGAGTCTACGATTCGATAATAATCGATGAAATTGACACAAAGTTGCACACCCGTAACGCTTAAAGAAGAAATCATTGGATACGTCGCTCAATATACTGCATCGCACACTACAGCATCGTATCTTCACAGCCTCCAACGTTGAATGTGGAATATCTTTGACGAGTGGCTGTGATGCGTGTTAACCTAAATGCACTACCGTAATTTCTTTCCTACTTTGTCCATTGACTTGGCGGTAATCACTCGTGCAGCCACGTCCATTTCCACCAATTGTCACCTGTACCCGCTCCCTCTTTTTCAGCTGGCTGTCATTTTAGATTTTTTTTTTACAATTGTATATTTTCTGCAGTGTAATACTTTAATTGAACGTTACCCTGTTTGGATGATGGCGGGATGATTGGTTTATAATTATTGTGCTTCCATTTCGACGTGTATAGTGTACTGCTTCACAGGTACCCCTCGATTTACGAAAGGATGCGTTCTTTAAAAAAAACGTAAATTTCGTAAATACAAAAGTTTTTTCCCATTAATTGAATACGAAAATTTAAGAATGGGTTTCGGATAGTCGCTCTAATTCTGCTCCTAATATAAAAACTATACACATCACTTTTCACAATACTAAAATTATAATATGAATACGATTGAACAATAATTAATTTAAAACTAAAATACTTCACTTTTTCAGGGCACTCGCTAAAAGATCTGCATGTTGGAATGACTGTCACATTGCGTTAACGCAAAATTTCGTAAACCGAACCGTTTGTAATTCGAGGGATACCTGCCCTATATATTGGTGCCATGAGGCTGGGCAATAAGAAGCACAGCTTCTGTGGGAGGATGGGGGTTACATTTTCTCAACAGTTCTCTGGCACCGAGTTCACTTAAAAAAAAGACAACTCAATTAAAACTCACTTCTCCGTACAACCCAATGGGCTTGAAGGCATTTTTACATTGGGCACACGCGACTGCTTCTCCAATTGCATACGACAGATAGATGGCTTGCTTTTGCCAACTCAGCATATGGATTTATTTTTAGGTAGTTGAGCAGTGTGTTTGTTGCGCGTGTGCTGAATTGTCAACTTTGTCAGACACCGCCGAATGCACACCGAGCACAAATAAGTCTGGGACATCACACGGAAGAGTCCTTGGAAGGCGTTAACGATTTTATTGCACAGGGTGCGAGCGTACATTTTGGGACCAGTTGACTTGGTCCGATTGATACACGAGTGTCGTTTTATAAAGAATGCCAAGAGTCGTGATTATTTCATTGCTCTGATGTCTATATTATACGGTATTTTTTTTAAAGTAAACTGGTTACAATTTTTTTTTATTTCCCGAACATTCACTTTCAGAAAAAAAAACGTTTCACGTCTCGATTCTTGCAGTCCGTGTTCATTATTTTAACGACGGATTGAAATAATGTGCTGTATTTCATTGCATGCCATTTATTTTTCAATCTTTAACACGCATGCAAATTTAATAATATGTCGTGGCTATATAGAGTACTCTACACGCCCGACGTGGAATAAAAGCATTTATTTCTACTGAAATTCAATAAAACAAAATTGTCAAAAAAAAAATTTTATGCACAAGTTTGCCCGGTGAAAATGTATACTGAATATTTACCACTCCAGTGTATTCGCCAGCTTTTTTGTGAGGACAACATTGAATACAATTATTGTTCGCAACCATGATCCACTTACGCATTATTTTAATACTCAAACATTTGATGGGGCTTTCTTTAAACTGTGTGATGCTCATTAAGAGTACATCCCCGAATCGCTGCAAACAATCCCCTGTGTGTGTGTGTGCTTGGCTCACCATTTGCATTGCTAAACAAGCGTCGACGCTGATTCATCTGTGACGCTCCCCTGCTCGGTGGTTGTAACGTAGTGCATGGGTGGAGGTGGCAGTGCTGACGGTGCGTCGCGAACGTGGCCAAGCAATTCAGAATCTTTTGTTTTGTAGACTCAAGGAGGAATCCGATGAGCTATGAAGCGCTTTTTTTCCCACATTCCCAGGAGGGCGCGGCTCAGCAAGCTCCAACAACAAACAATAAAACGATAAGAGTGTAAATTTCGATTTAAACGTCGTGAGAATATTATTGTGTTATTTTATTTTATCAATTTATTATTTTATTCTCATTCTACGTGACTTTACCGAAAGAACCAAAGAAGATAAGAGTGTCATTTCTAGAACGAAATATAAATAAAGTATACCGCATAGGTCCGATATTTCAACACAATGGTAGCTTGAGCAAGGCAGTAAAACTTGGCCAAGGCAGTATTTGCCGTGGCGACACGGAAGCGTCATGTCAATCACAATTCTGCGGGTAGCCGCGTTTGCCTCTCTCGTTGCAGAGGGGTCATGGTTGGAGGGCCAGAGGCCACCCTGATTAATACCGTGGGTGTATTAGCCGTACGAATTTGCGTCGTATGCTTCACAGTTGAACATTTCAAAATATCCTCTTAACATGATTAGAAAAAAAAGGGTAGTCAGTGTGTGATGGCATCACGGTCCAAATTTGATTATTATTTTTTTTAAACAGCGTATTCGGGAAGGCGTACAGTACAAGCAAGATTGGGCCGGGTGGTGATGGTGCATGCTTATAAGCACTGGAGGCAGCAGCAGTGAGGTTTGGTTGGTCGCACAAATGTTGTGAAATTCCCTTTCCGTCGCGGTGCGCTTGCTCGCCAGGAGAGGGATGTACAGCAAGTGGACGAATTGGCATCTGTGTTTACATTTGCACGGGGACACATCGCTGCCCACTCGCATGCGTTGGGATTTCTCTGGGCGCTTCCGAGGTTATTTCCACTCATTCATTGTTTTGAAACAAATTCAAGTAAAAAAACCCCAAATGCAGGATTTTCCTGCAAAAGGCGTCCTACGACTCGGCATGGCTTTCCTGGATAAATAAGTAAAATATAAATGTTCATAATATTAATAACCACGTCCCCACCGGCCAGTGCTGTGTTCCACCAGGGGGTCCTTGCCACAGGGCGCCTCAAGGTGTACAGCATGGGAGGTGTGATATACAGTGAGGGAAACAAGTATTTGATCCCCTGCTGATTTTGTACGTTTGCCCACTGACAAAGAAATGATCAGTCTATAATTTTAATGGTAGGTTTATTTGAACAGTGAGTGACAGAATAACAACAACACTGTTCAAATAAACCTACCATTAACATTATAGACTGATCATTTCTTTGTCAGTGGGCAAACGTACACAATCAGCAGAAGATGAATCAGCAGGGGATCAAATACTTTTCTCCCTAACTGTACATACAAAGTGATGATGGTGATGATGAAGATAAACGCTGAATACTCATAATACATGTTTTTGGGTTAGATCGCGTAAGTGTAAATGTATCGTAACCCTTCACCCGACACCAATTAGCAAGGGATTTTATCACGTAAACAAAACGCTAAATAGTTACTACTTCAGGCCAACGGTGTGTTGGAGAGTAAATCCACAACATTTACAATTTGAGTAGTACGACGTTTCGCTGTTAATTACATCCAGCATCATCGGGCGATTTGCCAGAATAGTGAAGATATCCACCTGCTTCCGGTCTGATACTGGATGTAATTACCAGCGAAACGTCGTACTAAAATTGTAAATGTGGATTTACTCTCCAACACACCGGTAGGCCGAAGTAACTATTTGGCGTTTTGTTTACGTGACAAAGCCCTTACTGACGGCTGTCGGGTGGTGAAGGGTTACACCACATTTATACTTACGCGATCTAAACAAAAAACCTTTATTAATAATATTGGTCGCGAAAGTCTACGTGTTAAAACGCCGAATACGTTTTGAACAGGTACCACAGCAATGAGTGAACCAGTGACCATGCGAATGGAGTATGGACATCCAAGTGTTTTGTTAACCATGGATACTTCTACAAATTAAGCAACCTCCCAATCACATTTGAACGTCGTCCCATTAAATGCATCTGCGAAAGTAATTATCGACACGTTAAGAACATAAGACATGCGGGATCACTTTCCCAGTGCAGATGAAGAAATGTCAGATCGTCTGAGTACGTCCGACACTAGTATTTTTCGAGCATTTCTCCCAAGAAAGGTGGACATTATTTATATTAGGACGTTAGACAGTCTTAATGGTTGACATACTACGCCCAAGTAAAAAAGCCACTACGATCATACTAATGATTATCTACATCTTTAAAGCGTTTAAAATGTATGTTCAAAATCGTTGAACTGCCCTTATGGAGATCTAGTTATCAGGGAATTCCTGCCTCTGTAGCCAAGTAGAGAATCTGACATCAGAAAGAATAGGCAATGTAAAAAGGAAACTGTCAATTTAAGTCACTGGTTTTCATTCACTACTTAATAAGATATGCTTAAGAAATACATTTATCTTTAGAAGCTAATAAAATAATTCACCTTAATTTTGTCCAAATCAATAGATTTGAAAAATCATTACATTTTAGGGCATATCCAATAATAAAGATAAATGTTTGGTGCCATGTACATTTCATTCCAGCACGTGAAATATTAATAGAAACAATATAATTAAATTGGATATTTTTTGCCTAAGTTGACTCAGCTGTAAATGCATATCTGGGGCGTGTTTGTAGTGCTGGGATAGAAGAGAGGGTGCTGAACTTGGCTGCTGGCGCAAGTCTTCTCGAATTCTGGCCTCAATCCCAAAAAAACGGCTGTCAAGATAGCATTCGTGCCCACCACTCTTTATATAACCTTCTAGCTGATTAGGAGTTTGACGAATGGCTATTTTATTACATCTGGGTTCACCATTAGAATTCATGAGCTCATGCCTCAGAGCCTCGAGGTCACAAGCAGTGTCCGATGATGGCCTTGATATCTTATTTGGCGGTTGGAGGGACAGGGTGTTTTAAATTGTGGTGCCACTGCGGTGGTGGTGGTGGTGGTGTCCGGCCAATGTCTCAACGTTTTCTGAGGTGGGGCAAGGGGGGATTACGAGTAGAAAACTTGGACAATCGCACGTCCACTAATACAGTTTGGATTTGTTTAACCCAGGGGTCGGCAACCTGCGGCTTCGGAGCCTTATGGAGCGACTCTTTCAGTAACTGCTTCGTGACAGTTATTATTAAGGATCCACCGTCTCGTATTCACCACACAGTGCATTGCGGCCCTTGAAATGTTGAGGTTTTTACTTTTTACCGAATTCTAAAAATATATAGTTAATCTTGTTTTGGTTTCCGACCGCCTGGCGTAGCCTCTAAATGCGAGGGCATCTGTACAGAAACAGTGGCCGTGTTTATTTTGTAGCGTGAGGCAGTCAGTCATGGGCAGAGGAAAAGATAAGGACTTGAGCTTTGGACAGGATTATTATTAATCATGATTGTTTACATTTCTTTACCCAAGATACAATCACTCACTCGCAACACTTTCTTTTTTTCAGCGGGGGTCCTGCCACGTTTTCGCAGTAGGGGGTGATGTCGTTACGTTCAATCCCAATCGAGTAACTTGCGGGTAATTATTCAGCATTGTGATGTTTGACCAATACCATTATGATATTGTGTTTAATTATCTATGGGTAGCTGGGCCGAAGGGAGTTAGGCACTATCCCAGACCTGTCAACCCATACGGTTTACCCGTATTCTTGTCCAGGGACATTGAGTTTTCAAGTCTATACGGTGTACAGCTGTTTAAATCCGGGCAAATTTGTGTTTGCATATTTGTTTGTGTGTCTCCTTCGTGATGGGACTTTGTAGGATGAACGTTGAGATTTCTAAGGGCACGGGGTAACCAATAAGGTCTGAATTGCTCTGTAGTAAGGTAGGCACTGATAAGGGGTTGACAGGTATGATATATGTGTGGCAGAGGAGAATGAGGAACCCTCCCATTGACCAATACTACAATGTTGGCTGCGGGCTTTGATAGCCTTGGTTCTTGAATGAGAAGTTACATGTATGCAAGGACGAATCAATGGGTTATAGAGAATACGGCGAGTGCGACCTGGACATTGAACCACGATTATACTGGTAGCCAGTGAAGGGGTTTGAGTACAGGGCTGTTTATTGGGGTGACGTGGCAGAGACCTTTTGGATCATCACATGGGAGTTTGGAGATGAGGGATTTGGCGAGGTTGCGTCGGAACGGAGTTTGAATAGCCGAGTCGAGATGATTCCACGGCTAAGACCAAAAAAATATATAACGCTCACGTGACCAGTTCAACAGGTTCATTGCGCAATAGTACACGTCATACTCTTTACTTGCCCCAGGATACTTTTCTGAAGAAAAGAAAAAAAAACCTCTTAAAGGGCTTGTTAATCCTCGAGAAAGAACTAAGGAATTCCACTTTTAAGAACACCTATTGACACGCGGTGCGTTTTGGTACGAATGGACCGAGTCTTGTTTGACCTCTGATGACTTCCCAATGTGAAACATTTGCTCTGTGAGTGACTTCCAACTATTGAATAAAACACGGTTTGGACGCTATGTGTCGTGCAGAAAGGTAGCTGGGTTAATAAGCGAGTGGCAGGTTGGTCTACAGGAAAAATTATTAAGGAAATGCAGATACTGTACTGTGTGTAATACGTATTCCATACGGTAACGTCCATCTCACATTTTATAATATAATCAGTTGCAGATAAGCCTTGTGGATGGTGTTCAAGGGGTGGCTTTAAAAAAGATACCCACCTTAATTATTGACATCACCAAAACGTATTTGCAAACAATCCCAAACAAATCATTGCGCAAAACCGCGTCCAATAGTTTATACCGATTGCGTTTGCCAATACGGTAACATCTTGTCATCCATAAGCACGTTTAACAAGCCCCGCTCTGCTGATTAAAACCAGAAAGTGGAGACCGGCCCAGAGTGTGATAATATTCATCTGGATGGCCAATTGGCTGATGGACGAACGCGACGTAGTTATTGTTTTATTTATACGTGGGAGAGAAATAAGGCAAGTTGTGATTACGCTTTCATAACAAGTACAAGCGTAATTCCTTTGTTCTTTCTCGAGGCTTGATACTGGCAAAAAAGGTCTCATGACCGAGAGATGCTCTGGTACGTGTGGGATTGTCATTGTACTATTCGCCTATTGGCGTTCTCTGCTCTGACTCTGCTGAGACTTGGCCAGAAAGAAGGCTTCTGTCTAGTGTAGGCCAATCAGTTTCAGAGATAATGCCGTATCTTATCAGAGCGTGTTTGTTTGCATGTTCACCGCAAGTACGTGTGGTTAATGCGGACTTGAATCATTGCTAAAGGTATCTTATTTGGTGTTGAACATCTTAATACATGTTTTATTGCCAGCAAGGGTAAACCCTTATTCTTTCATAACAATTCATGAGTTTGTTTTGGCAACATTGCTTTTTCTACGTTGAACGGGAGGAACACAACATTTTGGCCGGAGTGCTCTTGCCAATAACCATCCGGTCACCCAGCAGCAGCATTTGTTTCACAAAGCCTGACTGCTGATGAGAACACAGCTGCTTGAAACCAGCCACGAGTTTAGTATGTTTTCAAAAACATCTGCTGCATAATAATAATATTGCTCTGGGAAGCCAATAAACCGATTAAACCGATAAGGCCTCAGCATGTGTTTTGTTATGTGGAGACTAATTCTGCTTAACACTGCATTAATTGTGTTTATTTTTTAATTTACAAACCCAGATAAGCCTTGATATTTAAAGCGACGGCGTTACATTTGCCACACCGGATAAGCACGGGCGCCCGCCCCGTGTGACCGCCACCTGGCCAATGGCGTGAGGCGCACGCGGGAGGTTGAGGGGAGGGGGGTGAGGTGAGGGCCTCTTATCCGTTCTACGATTTCTGGTGATGACGCTGCAGCGGGTAATCGCTTCCGCCCTCGGGATCTTCGGCCGTCACCTGCAGCGGCGTCAGCGCCACTCCGCCGCCGCCTCCTCCTCCTGCTGCTGCCTTGCTCCTCAGCGTCGGACCTCACTCGTTCTCCTCAGCTGCCACCGTCCTCCTCCAACCTCACCTCACCTGTTCTCTTCACCACCGCTGTCGTCATCCTCCTCACCTGTTCTCTTTAGCCACCACCAACCAACCCATCCTCATCATCATCTGTGTTCTCTTAAGCATCATCATCAATATTGCTCTCTTTATCCACCACCAGCCAACCCATTCTTCTCATCATCATCATCAATATTGCTCTCTTTAGCCACCACCATCCATCCCCCCCCTCCTAATCCTCACATAAAAATATTTGAGAGGGTTGGGGGGGGAGAAAAAACTACGTTTTTTAGAGGAATTTTTTTGTCGTAATTAGCATCAAATTGTTGAGGTAAACGTCAGTGGCGGTTTTATTATCGTATTGCTTTTAACATTTGTGTTTTAATGTTTCGCGTGTCTCGCTCCGTGCGACGCAGCCACCCACCGCGCTTCGGCGTGAAGGTGCGATTGTAAATAGCGGCGGCGACAACGCCACCACCACCAACAACATTACTAATTTACTACCGTCCGCACGGATTTTCTCGTTAATAATTCATTGCGAAGACGTTCGTAGCGGTGACGACGTTTCGTAGAAATAAATATATATATAACATTTGGTTAAAAGAAATCCCGATTCATTGGTAACATCTGCCGTGCGCGTGTCGACTCGCAGCTTCCCGGTCTACGCACTTCTCGAGAGCCGCGTGTCAGCGAGTGTGCTTGTGTGTACTGTAGCACGAGTATTTAAACACTGTAACGCGCCTCGTGTTGATTTAGAACATTACACACGCGCACACACACACACAGATACCTACACACAAATAGGATACACGTAGACACTGTACGTAGACACAAGGACGTTGATATCAACGCGCGCACGTAGCTTCCACACGGAGGTCAATCAGGTACCACCACCAGCCAAACCTCTGCCCCCATCACAGGGGCAGCGGGAGAGAGACAATGTCCAAGGGTGAGACTGTCCAGATCCCGGACGACGAGGCGTTCCAGTCGTTCCGGAACGATTGTGAGAGCACGGAGGGCTGGGACGTCACCTACAACAAGGGCGCCGTAGTCGTGTGGACGCAGCCGCTGCGCAACGGCACGTTCGTGCAGAAGCTCAAGGTGAGCTTCGCTTGGCACGCACCTGGGTTTACCTGTACCTGCACACACCTGGGTTTACCTGTACCTGCACACACCTAGGTTACCTGTACCTGCACACACGTGGGTAGCCTGTACCTGCACACACCTGGGTAACCTGTATCTGCACACACCTGGGTAGCCTGTACCTGCACACACCTGGGTTACCTGTACCTCCACACACCTGGGTTACCTGTACCTGCACACACCTGGGTAACCTGTACCTGCACACACCTGGGTTACCTGTACCTGCACACACTTGGGTTACCTGTACCTGTCTGCACACACTTGGGTTACCTGTCGGCGCACACCTGGGTAACCTGTATCTGTCTGAACACACCTGGGTAACCTGTACCTGTCTGGACACACCTGGATAACCTGTACCTGTCGGCGCACACCTGGGTGTAACCTGCACCTGTCTGGACACACTTGGGTTACCTGTTGTGTGCAGGTACCTGTACCTGCACACAACTGGGCTACCTGTACCTGTCGGCGCACACCTGGGTTACCTGTACCTGCACACAACTGTGTTACCTGTACCGGTTTGTACACAACTGGGTTACCTGTGCCTGCATAGACCTGGGTTGCCTGTGTCTGTACACCTATATTACTCGTACCTGTGTCTGCACACCTGAGTAACCTTACCAGTACCTGTTCCTGCACATCAAGGGTTACCTTACCTGTGCTTGTACCTGTTCTTGCACACACTCGGCTTAACTGTACCTGCACACACCTGGGTTACCTCACCAGTATCTATCTCTGTGCGCATCATCTGGGTTACCTTACATAATATAGACGGCAACTTGACCAGCACACGCATGGATTGTGTTATCTTTCTCGGGATATACCTGGTTTAGCTGCACATGCCTGGCTTACTTTTAAACACTTGGTATACCCTTTACCTGCAGATTACTGGCTTTATACTACACTAAAACACACATGGGTTGCCATTACCTGTACATTCATGGCTTGCTTTTCTGTTATCTGCACACATCTGGTTAACAGTTCTGCACACATCTGGTCTAAATAACTTAAGGAATAACTTGGCTTTAGTTTCCTACCTAAATTATAGTAAAAAAAAGTTAATTTCACTTCAGGTGTTGTATGTAAATGCACATTGTCTTAACTTTATCTCTACACAGCTGGTCTACGTATAGATGTACACACCTGGGTTAACCTACTTCCCAGTGCACTCTTGCTCATCTTAGGGTCACCTGGTTACCCAGCTAATTCCTGCCCACCACGTCTTACTTCCTTGAATGTGCTATACATATGTTAATTTATCACCTGCCGAGTTTAATGAGCTAAGCACCTAACAACGGCTCATTTGGAGTACCTACCTGAACGTGGCACACAGCTGTCCACCTGTCTACCAAGCTACCGTCTGGGGCGATGTTGGAAGACGGCAGAGTATCAAACAAAATCTATCAGTGTACTGTCCATGCTGCCCGCCTTTACCAACCCACACTAACCAGCACGGTGAAATATGGTCAAATAAACCCCATGACCCATACGGCATGGGGAGGCCCTCATCCAGCAGTGGATTGACAGGGGTGTGCATGCACTCAGCTACGATAGCGCACACCAATGTAATGCCTACGCACTCACTCGTCTCACACTTGCTACCTTACCCACCCAGATTTTCCAACCCACGTCACAGACTGGCACGCCATTGCGCCGAGCTAAAAGTGATAACACATTTTCACATTGTCATATTTGAGGTCAAGATCAATGTCAGTCTTTGGGACACGCTTGTGAAGCTAGTGGCCATGGCGGGTTTTTTCTCATAGGGTTGGAAAAGGTTCTGTCGTGTGAGTGTTGTGGCTTACGTAGCTGAATTTTACATTAAAATGAATGAAAATGTGCACTTCATAAGCAGTCATGTACAGTATAAGTACAAGTTTTAAAAAACTAATCGGCGTAATCGTTAACATGGCCTTATAGCAACAACAACAACAAAACAGTTTATTGTAGTGGATTAACTTTTCACCAAATGGCCCTTGAAAACAGTCGACACGCGTAATGTTTAATGACAAATGCGAGACGCATTGGTTGTGGCTTTTTACTTTGCATTGTGTCCGGTGCTCATCTGAAATCGTGATAGAATGAATGGCTGGTGATTGGTGTCTTATGTCGGGGTGGGGGGGGGATCTCATTTCATTGGCGAGCACCGTCTTTTTTCAAGGAAGCAGGAAAAGATAACTCGTTTGAGAACGCACACGCGTGAGACCAACCGCACGCAGGTAGACACGTGGAACTGCCTTGACGTGTTCAACTGCCCTCGTGCACGGGTTCATTCCGTAACATATGCAACCACACCTTAAGCCGCGTCACCGTACACCACTGAAGGCCGCTTGCTGACGCATGGAGAGCACTTGCACCACACGGGTTGTAATGTTTTTTTTTCAAAGAACAAATTTGCTTTTCAGTTGTAAGTCAACTCCACTTCCAAGCACCATTTCTATTCTGTTAACAGCTTGGTCTGAGATCGTTAGCCACGCTCTGTCTACAGCTGGATGAATACCCTCCCCAAGCTGTCACCATATCTCACAGTCGTGCGGTGTAAAAAGCCATCGAGTTCCTGGACACGAGCAGATTTCATCGCTCCGTCTTGCCACCCTCTTGTGGGTGTCTTCGCTCCTCCAGTTACCACTTTGTCGTTTGCATTGACCTCTGGCCACCGTCCCTTTTAGCGACACATCCTGGCCAAGCCCACTCTTCTTCACAATGAATGCGACCCGTGTGGAATATGTTTGGAATTATTTACAGAAAATTGGTTGAATGGAAAGATGTTATTGTAAATGAATAAACCGTTTCGCATGTATATTGAACTTCTTTTGCACCGTACGTAGTCAACCATGCTAAATAAAGAGGTTGAAGTTGGATGTAAAGACAGTCCGTAGTTCACAACTTTTATTGTCATTACTGCTGCAATTAAATGTTCCTTGGGTTAGAAAGTATATGGCTGTTAATATATGAATAGCTGTGCGGCCCGTGTGTGGCATTGTAGAATAGTTCTTCTGTTCCAGAGACTCATTGGGTTTGTGGATTGAGTTGTATTACAGATGCTGTTACTGGCCTGAGTAAACTTTTATAAGGTAGTCAGTCGCTCACTGTGTCCGTCTGTGCCGGTCATGGTCATATTTCATTTGACTATAAATAAGTGATGACAAGAGCCAAGCAGTATAGGTTTATTTGAATACTCCCCAAAGGATATTGGCTTACACCATTTGTAGTGATGTACGAAACAAATATTCTCCAGCATTGCTACTGTCATCTGTGATTAAATGTACTTGCTTTGACATTGAATTCACATTTCCTGCACATGCGTTAGGAGAGTTAAAAATCCAGATAACTCCAAACTACACAATCATTCCATACTGCATTTTTTATTATTAAAATCTTACATTTGCGTTTGGGTTAAGAGCAAAGATTGGATAAGTTGTAAGCCTCCTGATCACAGCCGCAACTTAAAAAGCATAGCTATCGCGTACGCACTGTAGTCATTGTGATAACGGCTTATCTGGCTGCACAAGAGGAAGTCGCCCCGCACATGAAGCACTTTGCTGAAAACACTTAGCGGGGACTCTATGTGATACTTAATATGAATGCCAGCTTTGTTTTTATTAAGGACATGAATACTCTTGTGAATAGTCGTAGTGAGATTGCTGTATCGTGTGGTACATGACACTGCTCAATTTTGCTGGGTGCTACGAAATGCTTAATTATAAAACTAAATAAATGGCTTGGCATCATTCAATATTCCTTGTGTTTTGCCAACAAGTTTGTGGAAGAGTGGAGCAGTGTAATATATTTGCATATTTTCTTTAGATTTGTTTTATTTAACACTGAATATTTATCTCTTTAACGTTTGAGATAGTTAGCGCTGGAAAACTTAGTGGGATCTTGTGGCCCGAATCACAACAATGGGATTTTGAGGAGGTTTTGATGTTCAAACATTATCTTGGCCTTTCCACAAAAAAATCAAAAGATTTTAATGAAAGCTGCTGTTTAAAATATACTTAACTGAATTTGAAGACTTTTAAATATTTGGTCAAGTTGGTACACTGATATTGTATAAATGAGGTTATTTAAAAAAAAATCTCAAAAGCTTTTGTATTTGGTTATCGACAGTGGTATGAATTTCACAGTCCTGAAACCCACCGACCGTACTGCCCTCCCTTGTCCGCTTTGCGTGGATGTGATACAGTTAAGAGAGGAAGTTTATTATCGTCCTAGAATTAGATTATCTCGTGTGGCCTTGTATTTTTCTCTGCTGACTAATAAAATGTGTTCCTCTAACAAAGCTTACAGCCATCCATGTGGAGAGGGTATAGGTTAAGCAAATAGCACTGGGGACTTCAGAGCAGTGGTACGGTGATAGTTGCCACGAAACACAGGTTTTAGATATCGCTTTATTATCCAAGCTGTTCGTCATCACTCCCTATGTAGTCAACATTTCGATTTAAAGCTTTCGTGACTGCAAGGATTCATCTTCTTTGGTTCTTTCGGTAAAGTCACGTAGAATGAGAATAAAATAATAAAATAACACAAAAAATTCTCACGACGTTTCGGCCACAGAAGACGGCCGCTTGCGTTGTGGCCGAAACGTCGTGAGAATTTTATTGTGTTATTTTATTATCTTATTCTCATTCTACGTGACTTTACCGAAAGAACCAAAGAAGTAGTCAACATATGTTTATTAACAATTTCACAGCCCTTTGTTGGTATCTAAAGATAGAGATATTTTTACCAAAAGCATTTTGTATTTTTTAGGAAGATTGTAATAAGTGTTCATTTGACATGGGTCGTATAGTGTCAGATATAACGTTATTTTTGAGCATTTGTATTGCTGAAACCAACGCGGACTTTGTGTTACGTCGCAATAATCATTAACAACCGTTTGGCAATCCACTGTTGGATAAAAACCTTCCCATACGATGTCAAGTATAATAGGGTTGTTTGACCATGTTTCATCACGTCGATCAGTGCGGGTTAAGAAGAGTGGAACCCGGTGCTGGTTAACATATCACTTGCCACTGCTGTTCGCCATCGGCAGCGACGTCAAGTTGAACTTAGTTCGCCGAGTTCATCGTGCATTACGCTGAACACTGTGCAACTGCTTCACACGACTATAATTTATGAATTTGTTACTTTAAAAAAAAAATCCTTTACTTGGAACTGTCAAGCAAAAGAGGAAATGGATGTGGGTATTTCCAACACTAGTTTGTAAAGTAAACCCGATACCATGGCATACCTTGGCCACATTAACATAAATCCTGCAGTCTACAATCAAGATTTGGCCAAAGATTCACGCTTGTGTGCAAACAGTTTGAAAAAAAAACGGTTTCAACATTGCGGGACCAAACGCGTCACGTTTTCAAAATAGGCTGCAAAAAGAATGCAGAATTTGCATTTAAATAAGCCATTCGTCGCCCTTGTGTGTGAAGCAGAAATGTGCGGTTGTGACGCAGCGGTGGTGGAGGTGGGTGAAAAAACGTGCACATTCCTGCATCGTGAGAGACGAATGTCTTAGTTTTAGGGGAGGTTGCCGCAAGAAGTTGCACCTCATCGACGTGAAGACAGCGGTGGAATTTGCCAGAGGACAGAATCCAACCCCATGGTTTTTTTTTCCGATCCCGTGGCATGCCATAGCTTTTTTTGTTGTTGTTGAGTTCCTTTCGTGTGAATTTAGTTTCTGAACGTGGACTGAATTTAAAATGCATAATCCTGTGTTCGTTGTTTTCATTATTTCGATATTAATGCAATGTCACATGTATTTTTTCCATGGTTTTCATAGTAACTCATCCTTGCATACATATTAATTTAAACTAAAAGATTAATCTTGGGTAAGAGCTCATTGAGTATTGCAATTTGTATTTTTGTTGTCATCGTAATTTGTTATAGTATGACTCATGCCAAGGTGAAAAAAACCCCCATCAGATAGCTTCAAGGTGGCATCAGGATCAGGTGCATTTCTACAATAAGCAAACATCTTGTGGGGAATTTTTTTTGTGTAATTCGCTACAAATAAAATTTCACAAGCAATAAATTAGACAAGTACACTTTCTGTTTAACGTGCGCATTACCCGTATCTGCTACGGGGGCATCCGTTTTGTTGACCACCTGCCGACCGATGAAATCAACAGCAGGGCCACATTAATGCAGCTACATACAGCAGAGAAGGCTGTCCTACCTAGTGAGCTGCTTCTCTGTGAAACACCGTGGAATGGATCGTTATACGATACACACTCTACATCAGAAGGCAAGCTGACCCCAACGCATTGCGCTCTTTGAAAACTGAGTGCCTGGCATCTGGTCGTGCCTTTATAAATTAGTGTCCTGTTGCATCCCTTGGACGTGTCTCTTTTAGTTTTGTGTCCCCGATTTCTTTGGATAAAATTCAAAAGGCTGAACACAGGATGACCCTCAACCTGAAGCAATGTTTCCGCTTGCTGTGTCACTCAAATGCTGAATAATTTGCAATCTCATCAGACGCAAATTAAAGCGGCCCCTAACCTACGCATCCGAGTGGGGACGCACCTACATGCAAATGCGTGGTCATAATGACGTGTCTGTCATTTTTTTGCCGGTCGACACAGCATCGATTGCATCCTGTTTAGAAGTGTTGCTGAAGAGACGCAGTTGACGTCAAGTATGGACACATGGCAGCACCATTCCTAAAATGCCCTTGTGTGCATGTGTAGGTATTTCTCAACCCATTTCTGCCCTGAAAAGAGATGTACAGTGAATGACAAGGCGTCATGCCCTACAGATAAACCCCTTTCATTGCAGGGTGACTCATCGCTATGCTTGCTTTGCTCACCGGGTTTTTTTGTTCGTCTGTACAGTTGGCCGTAATTCCCCCCTCCCCTTCCCCCCGGCTTGTCAGAGTGCTTACCACAGTGCCCCTATGTGTCAACGGAACTGCCGGCTTTTTTATTTTTGTTCATATAAATACTGTAATTTGTGAGTGGTTTTAAGTCGGTTTTCTACTCAACCGACCTGGGGTGGTGCGCATCTGATTATTATTTACCAATTCTGAGCCAGTAGTGGGAATTCCACATTCCCGTGGCAGTGGCAAGTGGCGTTTTGGACGGGCACTATTTACTGTCCAGAAAGTGGTGCTTATGTTAAGAGTCCTTGAGGGACGAATGACTGATTGAACTTCTTACCAGGATTTGAGAAATAGTAACCTTCTGATTGGGAGCTGCCACCTTATTTATTTTGGATTGAACACTTACAATTCTATCTTGGTAGTCTCTGTTTTTTTTAATGTTCTGATATAAGAACACGATTATTAACGAGGTGCCACCAACAGATGCATCTCTCGGTTGGCTTTACATATATCTAGGCCAGAGTTCTGGTTGTGTTGAAAAACTAGTTTGACCAGATGTCACCAAGATACTCTCATTACTGCACACACCTTCAACCACACTGACAAAGCTGGTTTTCGCATGAGATCCTTACGCTTAGTTCATAGCCATTGATGCTTGAGAACAAGAGAAGCAAAGGTACTCAAAGCAGACTTTGTCAACAAATGTGTATAGCACAGTTTATGTGCGTCATATGTTTCCATAAATAGCCCACTATCGGAAGTTTGTAAACACGATAATCTCTTGTTTGTATAAACTTAGTTTTGCATACACTGCAGATGGATTATTTAACGAAGTAAATTCAATAGACCAGTGTCAGCCCACTGCTGGATGGGGAGGCATCCCCACGCCATACTTCACCACGTTGTTCAGTGTGGATTGGTAAAGGGGTGCTTGAGGATACACTCGCCAGTGAAGTCGGACGCAATTAGGTGCAGCTGTGGTGCATTGGTTCGCCCCTTACACGATGGGACCTGGTAACTTGAGTTAAATTCCTGGCCACGGCTAATATAATTGGCGAGTAAAAATCCAATTTCAGTTTTCAACCTACATGGACCAGTATGGTGAAGTGTGGTCAAACAACTCCCAAGACCGGTATGGTGTGTGAAGACCTTTATCCAGCAGTGGGTTGACAAAAACTGTTCTGTGTTATTTAATTTTAACAGAACAATCTCTTGGTAATGCGCTTGAACAAGGCACACGTATAGTAATGCAATTTTATTTGCGTTGCTAAATTTCACATTTCATATTGATTAATTCCACTTTTTTGCCTTATCCCTTTTATGTCTCTTACACGTGTACAAAAACCCTCTACCCTGCACTCACCTACTCACGCGCACACACAAATCGCAACACAGACTCGTCTGGAATGCAAGGATGTGTCGGCGGAAACCATGTACGACGTCCTGCACGACATCGACTACCGGAAGAAGTGGGACTCCAACGTCGTGGAAACCTTTGATATTGGCAAGCTGACGGCTAACGCGGATGTGGGTTACTACTCATGTGAGTTCCGCTCCACCACACTCGGCGCCGTGGTGTGCGAGGTGATAACTCTCTCCACTAGTATGGAGGAAGTCGTGAATTTGATCCCGACCCTGATGTCCGTTGTATATTTGGAGTTTGCGTGTCTCTCTCTCTCCCCCATGGTCGCGTGGATTTTTCCCCGGGTCCGATTTTTCCCTCTACATTTAGAAACATGCGTTTAGAGTGTTTGGCTATTATAAATTTGAACATGATAAGCCACTTCGTTGAGCAATCATTTGTGGTCGGGTCACTTCTGAAAAATAACTAAATTGCTCATTGGGCCTTACCTGGTAAAATAGAAATCGTTCATAGTTATTTGTCTGTTTGGTTAAATGTTTTCTCACCGGTGTTTTTGTTATATATTTCTATGCTGTCCTAAGTGATGCTCTTACAATAGGTTTAGAGACGGTATACAATACAGATGAAACCACAGAGCATGTAAATTTGTCTTTTAGTAAAATTTACGTATACCCTTCATTTGGATCAGCTGATCATTTACATCAAATTCTGTCTCCCTATGTTAAAAAAAACATTAATTGTGTATTTGCTTAGGCGGTTGCTATGGCAGCAGCGGAAATTGTACATTACTGTGGCAAGAACGTGTCTGTGTACAAGGCAGTCACTTTTGACATTCTGCAGAGTTATTGCTCACAAGCTAGTAGTAATTTTAACTACCCCAGAGGGTGGATGAAGATCATCATCTTCCATCGCTTGAAAAAATAATTTAAGGCATTACCTCTTCATCCTGGCCTTTGCAGATGAATAGTTAAATAGTGTCACAACATGTATGGTTTAAAAATTACAATTCTTCAAATTACATGGTTTATTGGAGTACAATAATGTATGTACAAGGGTCTTGGTTTAAGAAAGGCGCCTTTTAAAATAACGGATTGAGCTTTTGTGGTCTACGTTGACCCTTGTGGATTTTTATTTTAAATGATTTACGTAAAAAAATGTTTAAGTCATGTACATTTGCACTAAATTTTAAATCTATATATTTGTTTTATTCTATACAATTTTGACAAGTGTGGGGAAAATCCCGTGAGTGAAATTTGTACAGCTCGTTTTCGTTTACGAATAAGTACCAGGTTGCATTGCAGGCAGGAACAAGTTTAGTCCTGCAACCGAACAGTGTTGATAATACATTCTGTATCAGCTTAGAAAATGTGTTCCAATTACGCTGCTCTTGACAAAGTTACCGTTGCTACGCGATAATGATTGCCACAGCGAGTGAAACTACTTTCTCTCAGCCATCCATGCTGTCAACTCTGCCCCAGTTAAAGTTTCAGGCTGATGACCTTATTTCTCATGCTAATGATCTGTTGCTTCAACATAAAATAAACATACTCAAGATTTCTGTACATCCTCTTAAGATGCGGTCACATTTAGATGCTATATACATCCACATTCATTGCATCTTTCAATTTGTCCCATCACATATGAAGCGCAGCTCATCCAAGGAAATCTAAATATAGTGCTCAATTCCCCATTGCTCATCAGATCATTAAGCACGTTTAATTAACATGGATGTATTGTTAATTGGTGCAAACATGTCACCTTAATGATCCAATTTCTATTGGAAATGGAATTCATACATACAACAGATTATTTTAATGTGGCTTATATACATAGCTATACCAATGAGGCTGCCAGTCTATTCGTGTTTTGATTTTAGCAATATATGCAATTCGTTTAACACAGACTTTCACAACGAATATTATCCATAATAGAAGTTTTTTGCATTAGATCACATAAATATAAATGTGTCCTTAAACCCGACACCACCCAACATAGCTAATTAGTAAGGTTTGTCACGTAAACAAACATACCAATTCGTTATTAGTTCGGCACACTGGTGTGTTGGAGAGTATGACGTTTCACCAGTAATTACAACCAGCATCATCAGGCATCATCAGACGACGGGCAGAGTTGTGGAGAAATCCTCCTCCTGTTTCGGTCTTAAATCAAACCCAAAAACCTCTTTTATGGACAATATGCGGTCACAATGCGTATTTCAAAACAAATTCTCAAGGCATGTTCCACTTTTTTTTGTTTTGCACACAAACATGTCTAAGCAGTACATCTATCCCTTATAACACTGTTAGATCATACATCCATTTAGTCGTGTTCAGTAAAATACATCTCTTTTTGGTGAGCATAGGTCGTATATGTATATGGCCCACAAGTGGTCGATACATTCGCCATGAAATTATTCATTTGTATTTCCAATTGCCGGTGGGGGGGGGGGGGGTGAATCGTCATCCCTCCGATGCCTCATATGTATACTAGGAATGTAATCATTCACCCCCACACCACTGAATTGGTCATAAATTGATTCAAAAGTTGATAAAAAAATAATGTCTCGTTTGTACGGTCTCTTTCGCGTTGGCTGCGTCGCATCGTCCCCTCTTGTTTTGCATTGCTTTAGCTTGAATGTAAGGTGGCATATCATTTTGACTAGCATTTGTTGAGATTGTAAATAATTTAACCTTTTTATGCATCATTTAGGAAATAAACTGTTTCAACTTATTAATCATTACATGCCTAATTTGTACTGCGTGTCAATGTGTAACAGGCAAATGCAAACCTCTGAAGAACAGGGATTTCATCACGCTGCGCTCTTGGCTTGCCCTCCCCGATTCCTACATGATCATAAACCATTCCGTCAAGCACCCGGTGAGAAATCCCCCAAAACGCAGGCAAAGGCTGTACGCTGGCACAAACACATCTCTTATGCTTGCCAGAGACATTTCCCAATTTGGTGGCACCCATACAGCGCTACGACAACGTCTTGCCGTCCGGTTTGTCAAAGAGTAGATGGCGTGTCTCCCAAGGGGCAGAGGACAGCCTGTGGCCACGTGTTGGTTCTGTTGTAAAGTTAAAGTACGGTGGTGGTGGTGGTGATGCCTGATGGTCGAGTGCACTGGAAGAGCCGATCGATGCTCTGCCATCTTTGATGTGCTGACCTAGGTATTTGTAGTGAACAATAAATATGTGGTCGGTAAGGCACGCTAAAAATATGAGCCTCCTTTAGGTCTGTCACTTTGGCTCCATGTACGTACAAGCACAGCACTTTGTAAATCCGCTGCTGGATGAGAGCCTCACAAGGCCGTCCGGGTCGTGAAGTGTAGTTATTGGCAGTTATTATTAGCTTTTTGTTTCGCTTAGATTTCATCTGTAATTGTGGGTGTAGTTGTATTCTTAGGTACAGCGCTTTGAGATACTTCAATATGAAAGGCGCTTTATGAAATCGAGGTTAATATTAATAATGCCATACTCCAGCATGCTGGTTGGTGCAGGTTGATGAAGATAGGAAGCGTAGACACCAGAGCACAGAAATACATTCCAATGATAGATTTGCTACAGGGCCCTCTGTTTCCCATGATGTAGTCTCTCAGCGTATAACTCCTCTGAGGCTGGTTGTCACCTATACAAGGAATATCCCTTCTCAACTCTGCTTTGCCTCTGAGGTTTGATGATCGGGGACGTTCTGAGTGATATGGTCGTGGTATTGGCTTTATTCTCATACAATATCTCTTGCAGCTTCACATAACAATAAATGTTGCCTGATCCTTTACATAATTAAGTGATACTGACATAGCTAATTGAGTGCAGACATTGTGTATGAATAATTTAGTATCTCAGTCGGGATTATTTTGGGTGCAAGGCTGCAGTGCCTAGATTATGAATCTCCATGTATTTAATCCACTTGTGGCAGGGGGGGTTGGCATAAGCTATTTTTGACTGCTTCTCGAAATTGAACTGCATTTTCTTTCCTGCAAAAAAACCACAGGGCTTGGATCTGTCTGCCCCAAAGGCCTTATGAAACTTACCTCCGCTGCGGTTGTTTGCCAACCCAGTCCTGTTGCCGGGAAAAGTTAATCTACCGCATGTCAGAATTGCAGGCGTTGTCACTTGCCGTACGACAGCAGAGGGGGTGCCATCGCCAGGCTGCCTTTTGTGGGCTCCTTCCATCCCGTGACGTTAGTGAGCACTGGCAGTCTGACGGGGTATGAGCGTGTGGCTGCTTCATTTTGTTATCTTTGTCTTTCTCTTTAACGGGCGGCGCCACGCCACAGTGTATGTACGATGTTGAACTTCTTTCGCACCGTGCGTAGCCGACCGTGGTAATCGGAGGTGCAGGATTGTTCACGAGGGAAGGCGTGAATGCTCAAAAGCTTTTCCATCCCTGTTGCAGTTGCCCGTTGGCAATGCTTGTTAAATAATAAAACGCAGTATGTATGAGTGAATGGAAATATAAGCGAGCCAAAGCAGCTGTTGTAGGCTGCTGCACGGCTGCATTGTCAGCAGAGGGAAATGCGGCAAGATCCATTGTTGTACTGTAATGTGCTACAATGTCTCGCCTTCACCAATCCACACTGACCCACCGAGAAAAGAGGCCTTAATTCAGAAATTTATTGACAAATCGGCTGTACATATGCATGTACACGTGAACAACAATGTAATAACGCAGACAATGACAACAACGATAGTGAGGATTACAAAGATGATGGCATTAATTGTAGTCTACTGGTTGATTAACTTTGTCATATGTTGGCCTTTATCTTTCCCCCAGCATTACCCTGCGAAGAAGGAGTGTGTGCGTGCAGTGTCTCTGATGACTGGATACCTGGTCCACATAACAGGCGCCAACAGCTGCTCGCTCACCTACCTGTGCCAGGTAGACCCCAAAGGTATCTACTGTAAACTGTGTTTTATTTCAAGCTGCGTGATGGCTTTCACGATCATTTCAGCAGTGAAAGCAAATAGACCATTTTCATGTCATCCACATCGTATTGAATCACCACAATTCGTATCAACACTCATCCCTTTCTTGCTTCTTTCCCCACGCTGCGCGATTTTGGAATTCTGTTTCCCAAGTTCATGCGTTTAGACCATTTCGATTATTTTGCTGCTATAAGTGTCCAAATGATAAGCCACTTTGTTGAGCTATCATTTTTTTGACCCAAGTCACGTTTGAAAAATAATTTAATACCTCAGTGGGCTTTGTCTGGTAGGATGGGGATGGTTTAGTTTTATTTGTACGTGTTTCGTTGATTTGTTTACCTTTCTTGTACTTTGTATCCCTCGTGTTTTTGGATTGTTTGTTGTTGTAACGTTCTTACCCACCCCGACTGGAGGTCTGTGAAAAAGAGCTTTATAGCTCATCGGATTCCTGCAGTATAAATAAATATTCTGATTCTGAAAACGTTGCTTAATACAAGGAAGGTACTACCTCTGAATCTTTACAACTTTCAATTGTGCTGTTTGTTGCCGGCTGCTTGGCATGTTGGGCATTTGGGTGCCTGTGCTGAGCAACTGTAATGAAGAAAAAAAAACCTAATGTGATCACCACTCTGTCAAGTAAAATCAAACTTCACCCATCTACTTTCGACATGGACATGTAGTTAAATCAATAGTTTGTCATACATGTGGGACACAAACCTCATTTTGTGAACACTTGATTTTAATTCTCATAAGTATTGCATAATTCTTCTTTTACCCAGAAAAGTCGAGGAAGTTACTGTTCAGAAAGTTTAGTTAAGTCATTTTTTTAATGTTTTGTGGGTTCTTTTGGCGGTACAGACGGATGTAGTTTTTGTAAAACGCCCGTGACCGATGTCACATGTCAATTTAAACAACCAAGACAACTTTTTTACAGACCTATTTTTTTATATATAATTGTCTTTTTTTAAAATTTTAAGAACTAAAAAGTAGACTACATTTTGGCACTTTGCTGCAAAATTATTTTCTACACACCTAAGCACCCGTGGTACGAATTCCTACGAACTGTATTCTAAGCTTCGTCATTGGCACCTTTCAGCCATGATCCATCTACTGATAGATGAAGGCCTTCCAGACCCATCGCCATCTCACGACCTTGTGATGGAATAATCCATCTGGCGTCTGCACATGGGTTGATTTTCTCTCATTCTATTGTTCATCTAGTGAGTGTTCTCAAACTTGACTTAGTTTTATGGCTGGTAGATGCGGTGTGGTGGAATGTGGTTCCGTTGAATTGTCATTTGTCCTTGTGTGTGGATTTTTTTGCCACAGGCTCCTTGCCCAAGTGGGTGGTGAATAAATCATCTCAGTTCATGGCTCCAAAGGTAATGTGTGTGACATGAAGATTACACTCCCCCTCAGAACGAAATTACATTTGTCTTTTCATTTAAACTGGCCTGACAGTTAAGCACACACATTCACTTGAATGGTAGCCTTAACTCCATGAAAAAAACGATAAGGTACAATTCCAATCTATAGTTGCTGTAATTGCTCGTAAAGCATGGCGGGTTTTAAAAAAAACATATAAAAGTTTTTCTCAAAGTCTTGAGACTCGGTGAGACCTTTATGGATATTTGAATATTATTTAACTTTTAAGTTTTAAAAATCCTTTGCTTTATTACTTTAAGCACTCATTACCAGTCTTTTTTATTTGTATGTATGCAAATGAAGACACTGCACACTGCAGTGGCTATGGACTAGTGTTGTGGGACGTAATGGTTAGTAATTACAGGAAGCTGTACCGTGGGGGTCACGAAGACTGGCATTGTAAATCAGTCATCAGAAGCACTGTAAGTTAACCCGTTCCGAGACGTCTGCTAGTTGCAGGGTGGGTCCCGTTCACCGCTGAATCTTGGAACGAGCAAGCGGTCAGCGTTAATTTTATTTAGAGAGACATAGTGACGTGGTACTCACCACAGAGTGCTGTTGCGACACGACCGCACTCTATTATAGCTGTCGCTAAAGTGGGCCACACGCCTTCCTGTACGACCTTTTACATGGCCTTGTGGGAGCCTCAGTACGTCTTCTGATCTGAAGACGTACCGATAAAGTTATAACAATAAACTAATGATGTACATGTACGTACATCTTCGGAATGGGAAAGGGTTAAGTTGTTATAATAATAGGGTTTTTCCCCTTTTTTCTGGCAACAAAACTGAAAGCTTTTTACAAGGATTCATGTCTGCATTAACCACAATACCTGCAGTCAAAATGCAAACAAAAAACATACTATGAAAATATATGCATTGTCCTTGAAACTGATTGGTCCACACCAAGGTATGGCTTTCTTTTGAGCCTCGACCCAATTGGTGCTCGACCAGATGACGCCAGAAGGCGTAGGATTCAGTTTTGTTGTCATAAAAAGGGGGAAAACCCTATTATTACATTTTGGTGCTGGCAAAGGAGGTCTAATGATGAAAATGGTTAAGTTGTTTTTTACTGCTGACTACTGGCCATTCGGCTGGCATCCTTTTTTTTATTATTAAACTGTATTGCCACATCTGCATCACCTCTACATGTGGACCTGTCTCCTGCCGACCAACAGGCGATGAAGAAGATCTACAAGGCGTGCTTGAAGTACCCCGAGTGGAAAAGCAAGCACAACTGTGACCACAAGCCGTGGCTGTACCCGGAGCAGAACACCCTCGTAACCGTGCGGCTGAGTGAGCTCACGGTGCAGCACGCCGACTCGCTGGAGCGAATCGATGAGAGCGGCCTGTCGGAGGGCCGCGACGAGCGCAACTTTAACTCGGACGATGAGGAGGCCAAGGAAGCCTGAAGCGAAATCTCGCTAGTTCCAAACGTGGGGGGCGGCGGCAATTCTCTCGGTTGTTTTCTAACGGTCGACAGAGGCCACACACCGACACGACCGGCGTGATAAGCGGCGGCGGCGGCGGCGGCGTCCACTTGTCTCTGCGCGACCCACCGTCACAATTGCACCACCAGCCCCACTAAGAGTAGATGCGTCGTGTCTTTGTGCCTACGAGAGAGTGCATTGTCAGCGGGAGCGCAACCACTTGCGGGCAAAACTGTGAAACGTTTAAAACTGTGCACAAGCCGTGAGCGCTTACAGGGGGCGGGGAGGACCGTGAGATCCAAGCTTGCTTTTGAAGTCTTGCACAGGAATATAAAAACATATTGTGATATTTAAAAACATCTAATTAAATGGATGTGGAAAAATACTTGCAGGTGCCTATATATACAAAATCAGTTTTGGAATTTGATAATAAAATATTATTTTAAGAAAATGAATGGCACAGGTTCTCTCAACCATCCAAAATATTTATCTCCAAACCTCCCAACCTCCTCCATGCCCTCCACCGCTGTGAGTGGTTTTTTTGTCTCTGCCCTGCAGTGGTGTCTTAGTTTTTTGTTCGGCTAACAACACGTGCTTTTGGTATCACGTGTTTGTATTTGTTTTATGATTGTACTGCTCGCCGAAGTGTGGCGACGCAGATTCCTAATTTGGCTTTTGTGACGTGCTGTCAATTGGCTGGAAACATTTATTTGTCGGATTTTTTAAAATGATAAAATTTATTGTAATTGAGTGAGAGGCGGTTATGAGTTGCCTGGCTGCCCAGTGCAGTATATTTATACCACTTGCATGTGATCATTTAAATTACGTGAACCCAACAATTTTTTGTCTGCATTACAATTTGTAGCATATCGTTAAAATGATCATACTCATTTGCGCAAGTATAACGTTAACTGGCCCTCATATTTGATACTTGGAAGATCAGTACATTATAATTTGAAAAAAATGCTTGGGAATTTTGTAATCGCACAAAAAACGTCATTCTGAATGCTGATGCATGCTGCTGTACCTAACACTGCTGTTTAAATTGCCGTTTGGAACTGTAATACTAGCACACGTTTTCGACAGCCGCGATGCCTTTGATTATTTCAAGCTGTTTACTTATGTGTCCAGTAAAATTGAGCTTAGTAAAACATCCAGCCTATCAACACGGCCTCATTTTCAGCGGGGAGGTGTGTTGTGCTCATTTCATGCAGAGACTTGTTGCGATGTTCACGTATGCCTGGTAAAGCTTTCTAATTTAGCACTTTCCGATTTCTGCTCTGCTTGCTGACACGTGGGGTGTAACAACGCATCGCTTCGACAAAAATATCAATTCTTATGCTCCATGATACGCGAATGGAATCGCGCGTGTAAGAATTGATGTTTCCCCCCGATTCCTGCTTATGCAATGAGCGCACGCATCTCCTTCCAACTACTGCACTCGCCATAGCGTCAATTTGAATGATTGAATTGCAAGCGGGAAAATTGTTACGCCCATACTGATAGCGTTACAAAGTACAGGAGCTAAAATGCAAGTAGTAATTGAGCTTGCACACATTGCCTGGCTGAAAAGTGTGAGCTCTGTTGGCATGTACGCGTGTGACATATATAAGCCAACGAGTTCAAAGGTCGGTGGCATTAAACAACTTAGTTTCCAGTGTAAATTCAGAATATGTAAGCTTTGCTAAATTGTTCATCGGTCTTATGGAAGCCCAAATGATCATAAACACGAATTAAATTGTAGTAAAGGAATTGCTTACGAGTAAATGTACACAAACATTTCCCCTGACTGTAGAGATGTTGCATGCCAATAAGCTTTTAACATGGTTAAATAAAGGGCCATGAATTGATCGAATTGATTGCTTTTTAACGAGTTTGCATCGTGTACAATATTGCTGATATGGGTTTGCGTGGAACAAATGCTTAACCCCTGTCTGTGGTTGCGAGTTAAGCAGTGCTGACTAAGAACGTTGCATGTATTACAGGCCAAAGTTCAATCGTTTTCATCCTAGCATATCTTTAAAACACGTTTTCATTGATCATGTCCATCGTCAACAATTGTTTCATGATTTACATTGAGGCCGAAGTGTAAAACCTATCGGATATTAATCTCGGTGGGTGTGGTGCGTATTTTGGCGAGCAAATGTGCTTTAAAATACAAGACTGCTTATACATGTAACGTGATGCCTTTGCTTATTGGCAGCCTTTATTTTTGTATTATGCCTGTGCCATTAATACCATAGACTACACTTTTCAAAACGTATACGTTCATGAAACAAAAGTTATTGAAAATGCGAAGGCTTTGCTCCAATTTGCTGTTCTCGGGAATGATCGACGATTTTAGTAACGTTCCTTCATGCCTAGTTTATACGATGGTAGCGAGTGTTTTGAGTGCGTAGAAATAACAAACCTGTCAACCCCTGATCAGTGCCTGCCTTATTACAGACCAATTCAGATATTGTTGGTCACCCCGTGACCTTAAACATCTCAACGTTCATCCTACAAAGTCCCATCACAAGGGAGAAACACAAACAAATAGATAAAACATTGTTTTACGAAATGTCACTGCACAAGAATACGGGTAACCCGTATGGGTTGACAGGTATGAAATAACCCCACTTTTTAACTTCGTACAGTTCGTTTTTGTTTCTTTAAAATATTGGGAATCTGTATGTACGATTGCCTACATATTACAAAAGTTGGCCTCTTTTTCCACCAATCTAATTTAGCCATGACCGTCGGGCCTCGTGGTGGCTGAAAATAAACGGTCTCCTTTTGGCAACTTGTTTTTGCGACAACAAAAACATAATTGTCCCGCATGCCTGGCTGTCTCCCCCACTTCGTTGGGATAAAACCTGTTTTCTTTGCCGCTTTTGCTGGGTGAGTCCTACGGACGTACACGTTCGCGCGGATGCGAGTTCTTTTCACGAGTATAACATTCTGCAGTCGCATCGGCGATTGTAACTGGTGTTTACATGAATCTCGGTCGAGTTTATTAAAGACACGCGGCGATTGTGAGGGAAGCTGATTCATAATAAAGGTTTTTGGGTTAGATCGCGTTATTTATAAATGTGTCGTAGCCCTCCACCACCCGACACGGCCAATCAGCAAAAAAAAGTGTCACGTTGACAAAAGACAAATAGTTCACTACTTTAGCCCACCGGTGTGTTGAAGAGTGAATCCACAACATTTACAGTTTGAGTACGACGTTTCGCTGGTAATTACATCCAGCATCATTGGGCAATTCGCCAGAATTCCCGACGATGCTGGATGAAACAAAAACGAACTGCAATTCGCCAGAATGCCCGATGATGCTGGATGTAATTACCAGCGAAACGTCGTACTCAAACTGTCAACACACCGGTGGGCTAAAGTAGTGAACTAATTGTCTTTTGTCAACGTGACACTTTTTTTGCTGATTGGCCGTGTCGGGTGGTGGAGGGTTACGACGCATTTATAAATAACGCGATCTAACCCAAAAACCTTTATTATGAGGAAAGCTGATGTTGGATAGGAGGGCCATCGCTGCTGGGTTGCAATGAGAAAGCGTTGCTGGAGGAGTTTTTAAGATGTTGTCTAGACTTTGTAGATGAGCCCAAGTCATGTTGTATCACCAGCCAGAATAGACAGATGCGTGGGTGGGTGTTACTGTTCATCGATTGCTTCGTTTACACGTTGAAGAGATTCGGGCAGCATAGGTTGTACAATTGTGTTTCTAAACGTTTGAAAAAAAATGCCAAATTTATCTCTTAATGCCTGCTGTGTATAATCATTCGGTGCACATGTGCACAAAGCAACAGATTGTGTATTACTATTCTGATGCTGTGGATGGTGTGGCAGTTTGTTAAACTGAACTACTGAAGTAATTGGTGAATGCTGTAACATAGAATGTAGCGTGGTTTGAATATAAATATGATTTAATCTTTTGAGTTTGGGAGATTTACATTTTTTGTTTTGCCTTCAGTCGTAACGTTTTGCTTGTGCCGCTAAAAACAGCGTGGGATGTTGTAAATTATTAATTTTAAAAATGTTTTCTGTCCTAAGAGGAAGAAATTAGACTCCAGTACTTCTTGCTTTCAGTTGGAGTTGATTTCTTTTCATTCATTTACGGTGTTGTTCCACATCACGTTAAAGCCTGCATAGAGTAATTCAGATTCAGGAAGGGCGGTCAAAAATTGAGAACGAGATATGTTAAAGTCATACTGGCTAAGAGTAAGGCTTATTTTGAAGCCCCTGTTAATACAATCAACTATATATCGATGAATAACGTTTGATTAAAGCTATATCAGGAAGGCCATTAAGATCTGACGAGATGGCGTGCGTTGTGGGATGAGTTCATTCGAAATTGAATGAGACTTGTGAGATAAGCACATTTGTCTCAAGGCGAATTTGAATAAGCACCACGTTAATTATTCTTTCTCAACATGTTTAATACAGGCTGCTAGCAGACTATCTAAACCAATAATCGGGTTTGAGCGGTTAGGCTGCCGCTTTTGAGACTCCTTTACCCCACTGACCGATTTACAAACCAAAAATCACATCGCCGAAAACAATTTTTAAAGTCATGATTAGCTTTGATAATCGGTGTGCAAGCACGGTTTCGAAATCGCCAGCCTGCTTAAATGCTTCGGGTTAGCAAGTATGCTTAAGTCTTAATTAGCCTACAGTTAGGTCTTGATTGCGTCGGTGGCAAGTCCGTAATATGCAGGTAGAGAATGATCTGGATTTGAGGTTTTTGTGACTGCAGGGATCCATACTCTTTGGTTATTTCGGTAAAGTCACGTAGATATAAAACAAAATAAAGCAGCCCTTTTTCCCGTCTCGGCAGTTGTTTCTTGATGTTGCTGTTCCACCTGATGATGGACGCTTGTGTTGCGCCTGAAACGTCGTGATTTAATTTATTTTGTTTTATATCTTCGTGACTTTACCGAAATAACCAAAGAGTAGATAGAGAATGTTTTGGGAGACTTGGTTAGCATTGCACGTAATATTGTTTCTGAAGTTACCATTGAGAACATGTAGGAGTGTAATGGTGAATACATGTATTGATCAGTATAAACTCTTAAGCCAACCGTATATAAACTTTTTTTACTTATACCAAGTAAGGCCCACTGAGCTATATAGCTATTTTTTCAGAAGCGACCTGGTCACAAATGATAGCCCAATGAATCGGCTCATAGTGTGGAAATGTATAGCAGTCAAATATTCGAAACTCGTGTTTCGAAATGTGGAGGGGAAAACCGGAGGACCCAGAGAAAAATCCACACGACCACAGGGAGAGATAATGCAAACTCCAAATATACAGCCTATGTGTATGCAATTGATTCGCGCAGCCACTCGTGGCTCCGACATTCACCACATTGTTAAAAACAAATAATTATTGATTTCAATCGTTACCCTTAGTTGCACCAAGTCAATGGATCGCAAGCCAGTCCCATGAATCCCGTGTTCGGTTGAAGACGCTCCCATCCTCTCGACCACGCCTTGTTGTCGCCCTCGCTGATCAGGGGGCACAATGTGTAAATATGTACTTGAACTTGTAAACACTGAACCGTTGGGATGGGCTGCAAGCCGCGTGCCGACGCATACGTAGGTACGTAAGCGTGAAAAGGTCCCAAGACAAAAAAATAGCGCGCATATTTTTATGACCACCGGTGGGCATTAATCAGTTTCTGTACAGTACACGTATTACAGAACTTTACGAGTTGCTTTAGTTGACGCTGATCAGTGTTTAGTTGATACATTCTGAAAGTGCATTGTACTGAAATAAAAAAAAATTGACCACTGATTTTTAGCATGCGTCACGGTAGGAGGGGGGGGGGGGTTCCAGCTTCGGTGTCTTTGATCTCGGCATGAACATGTTTGCACACACAGGAAACTCGTGGGCGCCCATATATATCTCAAAGTTGTAGTGGCTTGTGGCTGATCTAACGCTTGAGCAGGAGCTACTGCTGTCACTACACGTGGTGCCATTGGCCACTGCGGTATGATGACGCTGGGACCTAACATCCTGCCTCTGGTGTCATTGTCCCTACAGGAACTCCATCTTCCTTTGGTAATTTACGAAATTAGGGGTTCCACAACCCTAGTCGAGAGCAGCTTTCGCCCACCACTTTACAATGCCTCTAATTCCTGTGAGCGGTGGTGTAGCGGTTCGCACGCTACGTTACAAACCCGGCGACCCTAGTTGCTCACCGCCAACACCAGCAACGATTATCTGAACCGGTCCTGGGCCTCCCCTAGGGCGACTCGGCCTCAAATGAGTACCTGGTGTGATGTGTAAACATCGTCACTGGGGTGACAAAGACGGTCGGGCGCGGTGTTGGCCACCCACCCCCTCGTGTGCTGTGCCGGCCTTCATAGGTGCTCGCTAACAACACTTGCCCCAACAGTCTGTTACAGGCAATACAGGGGGGTCTTTGCTATTGTGTTTATTATTCAGACCTCGATTTCGCACCTCCAATTAGCACGGTTGGCTATGTACGGTGCGAAAGAAGTTCAACATACGTTGACCTGTCAGACCTATTCAAGAAGCCGTGTGTAATTTTATATACGTGTAAATAAGCAGATGGGTGTGTTTCACGTAATTCACTAACATGGGGACATCTGGATACATGTCGAGCAACATTTAAGTGTAAAACTGCATCCCTTTCGACTTTCCGAGTCTCATCGGCATGCTTGGTGCGGGCAACGTTAGTACACTAACATTGACAAGACACACCTCTGCATTTAGTCGGTGCGTCTCTTAAAACGTAACATTCGTGAAATGTACCTATGCACAGTGTTCGAAATGGATATGCAGCAGTCCTTCCCCACTCCCCACCTCCCCCACCGGTGTGAAACCTGTTCCACCTGCAGACCACGTGTCGATGGCCGTTTCTCTCTTTTTGTGGAAACAAACGTGGTGGAGGATGACCAACAAGTGCCCGTAGAGAGGCCGGGTGTGCTCAGATGTACCGTTGTGGCGTCCTGATGCCACCACTGCCTGTGCCTATGTACCGAAAAACTATGCTCAATTCTGCGTTACGATTTACACACACACAACAACAACACCGACAGTACTGTACTCTGAAATTGTAATTGCGGGCAAACTGACTCACATTGACAGAACTTCCCTATATCTGTACTACTGTAAAATATAATTGTATTTTCACTGCCGTACGTTTAAATGTATTCGTCAATGCAGCTTTGCGCATTGGAAACGAGAGTTACATACTGGTATCGTCATGTTAGCTCAAAGCTTCTCTCCATACGGCTGACCCTGAGAATATAAGCACGTGTGTGTGTGTTCTATCCGTGTTCTCTGGGTCCTATCATGTGCCTCCAGCCTCTTGCCGCTGCATTTAGACATTTAGATAGTGGGGAGCGGTAGTGTCGCGGTTAGCGCGCTGCGCTACAAACCCGGCGTCTCGAGTACG